TTCAAACCTGAAGGACAGAAGAGTAGTGTATTGAATGAATCGGTTACAACGCGACATGAATATTAAATAATATTGACAATTCCACAACACAAATAAATCATTTGTCATTTTCGTTTAGAAATCTGTTATTTAATGACCGTTTAGTATTCGATAATAAAATTGATCCAATGGTCAATTCGAGCGCAGATAAAAAAGAATCATTCATTGAGTCATTCGTTTAGGAATCATAAAATGAAATGTGATTTATGGCAGTCTTTCATGAATATGAAATAAATCATTTAAATTAATAATTTTTTCGAATATCTGTTAATGGACACATTTGGCATTATCCTGAGTTTACGATCGATAAATGGGCGGTATACGATGTTTTAATACAAATATATTATTGTATATAAGATGTGATCATCATGTTCATCATAGTCGTGTGTGATTATTTGAAATATATTCGACACGATTGTATATCATATAATCAATTAAGATAGCAATACAACAACGAGGAGAGAGCATAGAGAGAGAAAATCAGATTAACACAGAGAGAGAGAGAGAGAGAGAGAGAGAGAGAGAGAGAGAGAGATAATAAGAGTATGTGTGCAGATGAAGTCGAATTGTTCTGAATGGTTGGAATAGTTTCATTTAAAATTGGTCCATTGTGTGTGAGACAATAAAACCATCAAGAGATTTCACGTTTTGTTGTTGTATTATTTCCGTTCAATTGTAATGCCTTGATACTCGATCATGTGCACGCATCCCATTCGATCTCTTCAAAATTCCACATATGCAAGCGATTAAACGAGCTTAAACCACTTCATTTCTTCTTTCAATTAGGACATTGTAAAAGAAGTGGAAAAAACAACAAACAACACACTTGAACTAACATAATCTTTGCCAACAATGCACTGTGAATCTTTCGTCAGTAAATGAAACGAAGACAAAATAGAAACGAAAGAAACAAAAACAAAAATGCGAGAAAATAATAGCATTGAAGTTCCCCATTTCTCCACGACCAAAAATATAGTAGTATACTCATGGCATCGTCTGTTTGCTTAGCTCGCATAATTGCGCTCCTTACACTCTCGACAATATATGAGCGCGTTGCGCCGCTCTCTTCTTCTCTGCATACCATGTGTACGTGCAATATTCTGTTTGTTTCTACATTGTACACGGTGTGTCTATCTATATTCGTGCGATTTAATTTATGAGTATGTGTGTGTGTGTGATGTTACAGTCCGATTGAGTGAGATGTCTAATTTTAGATGATCCGATGTATATATGTTATATCCAACGTTATTTGAATCAGTTGATTTCCATTTGAACCTAATTATTTATAGCCACACTCGATATATAAAAAATGCTATTTTTGATGAGTCGACCGAAAACAGCAACGTCATATCTGTCATTATAATTTGGTGCTATCGCGCGAATGCTCTCACACGCCGTTTATACAATGTTTGGCATGGAGTAGATGAGCGTGAGCGCAAGTGCCTGTTCTCGATTTCTCGGTTTTGTATGAATCCGGTGTATGTCAATGTGATGTGTGTGTGCCTTTTTGCATGCTGTTCCATTTGTTTCTATTTTTTCATTGTGCTGCAATTTTCGTCAATGCTACCCGATCAACGCCAATAATAATTTAATAAATATAATTGTGCATTTGGTTTGGTGTCGCCGTTTTTTTGCCACTTTTTGCGGGCATGCATTGGCATACACTCAAGCTATGAAAGCGCGCGCTCCGATCAACATTTTGCGATTGCATGCACATTTGCATGAAAAACCAATCTTCAAATGCTTTCTTTCAATCTCTGTGTATGTGTGTGTTTTTGTGCTGCACTCTCTTTCACATTCGCATAAGCTCCATCTTTCGTATTCCGTCCGCTCAATGCTGTTCGATGCTTTGGAGTTGAGTTTTGTTTTTTGTTCGTTCACATTTTATTCGCGTTGAATCTTGAAACGTGTACGCTCATGCCATGCTTATAAAAGTCTGCGGTAAAAATAGGGACAACATTGCACCTAAATTTATGTATGTGGCACATTCAATGCAATTGCAATTTTTACGCGCTCACGCTCATTCTTATTTAGCACACAACGTTTTCACTTAAAAAAGCATTAAATCCTGGAGAAATGGCACCACTCACACACACATACATTCATTACAATTCTTTAGAATGGAACAATTGAGTGAAATGAGCAAGAAATGTCTTATATTTGTTAATGAACCGAAAAAAAAAGAGCGATTATGAATTTCTAGTTCACAAATATGATTTTAGACTGTTCGTGTGAATGAGTCGGTTGGTATCGAGTGTGTTGTAATGGCGGTGTACTCTGCGAAGGGTATTTAAGCGAATGAGCAAGAATCAGAAAGAGTGAATATGAATGGAATAGCGGACCTAACAATTCAAAAAAAAAAACACTCCAAAAAAATAAAGATTGAATAGACATCGCTTCTAATGAATATTAGTCAGCGGCATCGAGTTCTTTTTTTCGGTTTTGAATGGTGTGTTGTTTTTCACGTAAATGCATACATTGTACATATACGTACATGTTTACGCCATTTTCATGGCAGGATGTGGCCATATTTCACTTCCATTTTTCATTTCTTAAAAATAGAATCGGTTTTCAATGAACATGGCAGCGTATACAACAAAAGTAAGCACAAGTGGCTCTCCAAAACAGAGCACAACAACTGCACCAAATTGAAATGTGAAATCTGTGCCTTGCAAAGCAGAAAAAGTAAGCACACACAACATGTGCAGAAAACGACACAATACATTCAAAGCCGAGAAAATCGAACAAAAATAAACGGTGAACGGTATTTACGTCACTAGTCAGACTTTTTCTCTCTTTTTCTCTCAAACTTCAAGTGGCATATACCCCATTTGCCGAGCAATTTTACTCGCCATAAAATGTGAGTGTTCAGCACTCGGTGTATGTGTGTGTGTCTATTTTATTGGCCTCTCTTTTATTGCATTGCTACATGAATTTTGGCTGCGTCGTTTTGTAAGGCGCTTGAGTGCGCCAGCTCGTTCTCATGAACGTTGCAAGAAATAATATGAATGCAAAAATACAAAATGTGAATGCATAACAACGGTATGATGTACACATGTGAATCAAGTAAGCATTGTCAATGTTCAAGCTTCTCTACTTCGTTGCTTTTTCCCTTTTCTCGTTCTCTCCATGTTCCCGTTAGATGTGCCATAGACACCAAACGCAATTATACCAATGAACTGACTACGAATGTACGTAAGCACGGCGAAATAACGATTTTCCTATTCCCTCTGTATGATGTGAATGTGTTTATATATATATAGGTCGAAATGACGTCATTCAGTGACCCAAATACCGAAAGCGCACATTGACGAAAGTCATCAATGAAAACGAACGAGAAAACAGAATGAAAAACCTAAATATGGGAAGCCCTTATCCATCGTACAGCGTTTTTGTGTGTGTGTCTTTGTTTGCATTTCGTTTCGCATGTATACAGTGCACAAGGCAGCGACCAAGGGGGACACATTTTTTAAAGCGAAGCATCGATTCGCACTCTGGTGTCACATACATACAGCCACATGCACTTTGTGGTTTGTGTTTGTGTATATTCCTGGATTAGCCATTGCGTGCTTTTTTTCCCTACGAAGAACAACCACCTCTTGAACTGACATCACACTCGTATATTTTCGTGCGAAAATCATTCAATAAAATTGCGATGTACGCAAACCGCATATATAACAAAAATTTATTAAAACAGAAAATTCACGAATTTTTTTTAATCCACATTGGAATATTTACTCTTTTGGTTTAACATTCATTCAATGCTCCAGAGAGAGATTCTGTTGCAAATTTTATGTATACTTTTCGGAGTTAAATAAGCGTAATGGATGAAAATCATCAAAATATAAACGAAAAAAAAAAAGCGAAAAAAACCAAAGGAAAATGTACAGATGAGAGAATATTAATGAACATTCAGGGCACCAATGGATTTATTCATACATGTGTGCACATGCACATATATATATTGTAATACACGAAATGAGAAAATTTTTCAGCAAATTTTCTCGTTTCCTGTGTGTGTCTTTTCGTTTTTCCCTTTTATTTTTTGAAATTTAACATTTCGCGCACGTAAGAAGGGAAGACGAGCATGGTGCGGGTTTTTGCACCATTAAACCTTTTCCCTTTTTTGCGATGTGGCTAATTAAATGCAAAAGCATGAAGTGGTGCAATTGTTTTCTGCATTATTTAAATAGTACACCTTCGTTTTATTGCTCGAATGGCGTGCGTGACCGCACCATTCGCGTCATTTTCATCTCTTTATAATTATATTCTTATTTAAATTCTTTTTCTGTTTTTTTGTTTGTTTTCTTTGCCTCTGTTTATGATTCATGTATTCAGTTTAAAAAAAAAATAGAAATAAAGATTTATGATTTCGAATGAGCGCTTCAGCATTTATGTTTGTTTAAAAAAACACGACGATTTACATCAATCGGTGTATGCACCACTCTCATTTATCATTAAATGGCAAATTAATGATTAATGATTTATTGACATTTAAAACATGTTTCCGATCGCATCAAAACAAGTTTATTATATTTGATTCTGTTCGATATTTAAAAAACATACAAATTAATCATGGTTAAAAGCTTTTTTCGGTTCAGCCTATTTTAAATATTGATTGACTTTTGTCATTATCACACCCATACACGCTACGGATGCCATACAAAATTTATGCACCTGACACACTGATTTCTCAAATTCATTTGCTAACCAATTTCTGTTTTTGGACCGAAAGAATGCCAATAAGGAGATAATGAAGCATCGATATGAAAAATGCATGCTGAATGCGATACTTATATTCAAACAGGATTTTGTTTAGATTAGATTTTGTTTGAATGTGAAGAAAAAAAAACTAAGAAAAACACTTAAATCACAATTTTTCTCTTAAAAAAAACACATACACCTATTTTCATTTAATAAATCAAGAAGAATTAACAAAACATATTAATGTAACATTTCAGATCATTACCCAAACTGAGCAGTCAAGATGAAGAAGGGGGGGCTGGAATTGGTTTCCCAACGCAGCCACAACATTTTGAACCAATTCCGCATGACCATGACTTTTGCGAAAGAGTTGTCATCAACGTACGTATTTTTTGTGTGTCTCCTATCATTTTTTTGAAGCGCGTGACTTGAATTTAGACAGTAAATTACGCAGTTAAGAGTTTGTACACTAGACACATGACCTTAAGAATGTTATTGTAGAAGAGCCATTTGATCGTGTTGGAATTTTTGCGTGTCAAAGCAATGACATTTTTTTTCTTTTCCATTTCTATGTTTTCTCTATTCGGTGGCCGCCGCAGGTAAGTGGCTTAAGGTTTGAAACGCAATTACGTACATTAAATCAATTTCCGGATACTCTGCTTGGAGATCCGGCCAGGCGTCTAAGGTATTTTGATCCACTACGCAATGAGTATTTTTTCGATCGTAATCGACCAAGTTTTGATGCAATTCTGTACTATTATCAAAGCGGTTAGTATTCGTATTTCTAGAGCATTTCCATAATTGCTTTCTATCATTATCATACTAAACAAATTGAGTAGCACCTCAATTTCTAGATCCACATAATAAAATCCAAGTTCTCATTAAACAATGTTGTGCTTGTTTTTTCTTTTCGCTTTTCTCCATATATTCCATATTACGCCAAAAAAAACCATTATCTTATTCCACACACCAATATTCGAATGAATTTGAACGTTTGCGACATAGGCGGCCGATTAAGAAGACCAGTTAATGTCCCTTTAGATGTGTTTAGTGAAGAAATTAAATTTTATGAATTAGGCGAACAAGCAACTAATAAATTCAGGTAAACCTATTCTTGCTGAAAACGAAACAATTTTAAGATTAAAAATAAGCGAATCGGAAGCTTATCTTCAATGTGGTGTCGCCGAACAAAGCACGCACCTCGAGAGTTTGAACTCGCAATACACGCACTGTTCAAATGGACGCTGACCTCTTTTTTTTGACGTTGACCCGAGTTCAGAGATAACGTGTTTTGCACAGATATCAATTCGTTCGCCACACACGTTCGCCTGCTCACCGAACGGGAAGTGAGCGATTGTTTTTCGATGTAAACATGCAATCAATAAATAGCGGGCGCGCAAGAAATGTGTGCGTGTGTGTGTCCATATGACGTGACGGCAGCGAGAGACGTGAGCATGGCTCGTGTTTGTGTGTTTGTTGTTGTTGCGCGCATCACATTGACGAAATCGATTCGTTTCATGTTACTTGAATGATTAGTGTAAATTGAGATTAATTAGACACAATCAATCACCAATCAAATCAAAATAAAAATAAAAACGAGTATCGACGAAATGACATATGAGACAATGCCAAACTGATAAAATTTCAATTTTATTTGCTTAAAACACACAGAGAGGATGAAGGCTTTATCAAAGAAGAAGAAAAACCACTACCAGACAATGAAAATCAAAGAAAAGTGTGGTTGCTCTTCGAATATCCAGAAAGTTCGCAAGCAGCCAGGGTTGTAGCCATAATTAGCGTATTTGTTATACTTCTTTCAATCGTTATATTTTGTTTAGAAACTTTACCCGAATTTAAGCACTACAAGGTAATTGCAATCATGCTGCTAGTTAAATATGTAGTTGAACAACAAAAACAAAAAATACCAATTGTTTGCACTCCGTGAGCGGTCTGCAATGCTTTTCATTTTTCATTCTCAATTTGTTCGTTTCTCTTTGTTTTTCACACACACACAACCACAACTCACATATACACATCCACGCTTTGTTTATGTTTCCAAACCTGCTCCTCCCCCGAACAAAAAAAAAATCCAATTTCCGGCTTTCACACAATACTCGTTCCGGTCGCCTGTGTGTTTTCGATTCCGGTTTGACTGCCAATCAGGTGTTCAACACAACAACAAATGGCACAAAAATCGAGGAAGACGAAGTGCCTGACATTACAGATCCATTCTTCCTCATAGAAACAATATGTATTATATGGTTTACATTCGAACTGAGCGTCAGGTAAGCATTTCACAAAAGAAAAATCGATTTTGCGCTTTTGTTCATATCTTTTACCACAAATATCAACTCGATTTCTAATTATCGATCGCGGTTGGATGCGGTTTGCATCAATCAATCTCTCTTTCAATTATATTATTCAGGTTTATGGCATGCCCAAATAAATTAAATTTCTTCAGGGATGTTATGAATGTAATCGATATAATCGCTATCATTCCTTACTTTATAACTTTGGCCACGGTTGTTGCCGAAGAGGAAGACACGTTAAACCTTCCGAAAGCTCCTGTTAGCCCACAGGTAAATACACATATTCCTCACACATTGCATTCTAATTTATGATTTCACCGTAATCAATCATTGATTTTCTTACTTTTCTTCCAAACAAAATAATGAAAACAGGATAAGTCTACGAATCAGGCGATGTCCTTGGCAATATTACGTGTGATACGATTAGTTCGAGTATTTCGAATATTTAAATTATCACGACATTCAAAAGGCTTACAAATTTTAGGACGAACACTGAAAGCCTCCATGCGCGAACTAGGTTTATTAATATTTTTCTTATTTATAGGTAAGTGTCAAGTTAATCTATTAGAACATTTCATTCTAACCTAATCCAATACCAATCATAATAATATCTCGATTCGATACTCATATTCGCGAGAAAATCATTAATGTGAATTATTTAAATACGTGTGAGTGGTGCACACGTTTAGTACACCAAAACCAGATTTAATTTTAGAACATGACCGAAAAAATATCAAATTAAAACGAGTATCTGTCATCTAAAAATATATTCAGTTCAGAAGGTTAAAATCGTATCGCTAGTGAATTCATGTTAAGGGATCAAACAGGGCCATCAATCAATATTGTCATATTGCCACGTCAACTCTCGATAATCAAATTTAGTGTTTTTCTCAGCCATATTTCAGTATATAATTTATTTAGTTGATGCCACAAAATACCTATATAAACCGCTTTTCTAGTTTGATTTGAAACAAAAAAAAATCACTAATTTTCTTTTAATGAAAAGAACTGTTCTTTTTAGTCAACTCACGGAAACTTGATCTTATATATACATTTTTAATATATATACATACCTTTTCATAGAAGTTCTTTGTTTTAAAAGCCTAGCTAAGAATCAAACTCTATTGATAAATAATCTAGACGAGGTAAACAATTATTAAATCTCTATTAATTACTTTACCATTTGTTTTCTCTTCATCATTTTGAATATTCATCGTTCGCTTCTGAAACAAAAACAAAAAAAAACAAAATTTAAACCATTCTGAAAATCAACACTCCATTTCGACCGATCATCAATCAATTTTACACAAATAAACACAAACACACAAATCAACCAACCAATTGACCAACAATCAAAAACACAAATTTTTTTACAAATAAATCGATTCAATGTCGATGCCATACAAAACTAACACACACCTACACATATACCATATCCCAAACAACGTGCTAAAATTTATGTAAAAAATTTGAAAATGAAAATGTGTGTGTGCGCGCGCGCTCGTTTATTTGCGGTCGAAACAAAACAAAAAACTAACACACAAAATCAAAATTTAAATCTAAATGCGATGCGGCACACGAAAAAGGCGTTGTACTATTTTCGTCCGCCGTATATTTTGCTGAGGCGGGAGCTGAAACGTCCTTCTTCAAATCAATACCAGATGCATTTTGGTGGGCCGTGGTTACAATGACCACTGTTGGCTATGGCGATATGAGGTACCAAAAACCAACAAATCTGAACCATATTTTTTTTTGTCTGAAAAGAGTGCAAAAACTGCAATGCCATAACCGAATAATATCAATCCAATTAGATGCAAACGAATGTTCTTTTTTTTATTGTGTGTGATACATTCTTCACTAATATGCTTAGATATCGAACAATGGATTTTTCAAGTGGTTCGGTATTTTGTGGCCAAAAGACACATCGCATCATTACCAGTGGTTGCACGTACCGTACTCTCAGCGCAAATTGTACGTTTCGCGTTTCAAATAAACGTGATCAAACCAAAACGGAAAACGTGTGGTGGAGATTTTTTTTTGGCCATCAAATACCGAACTGCTTGCAATATATGTCACTTTGTGTGGATTTTTTTCTGTTTCTTTCTTCTTAATTATATGTAGTCCTTCAAATATTATATTTTTCTCTCGTCTTTTGTTTTGCCATCATTTTTTTTCTTTTCAAATCGACCCTTCACTCTCGCTTCCGGTTCAAATGAAATTAATGAAAAATCCGAATATATATTTCACTCAAGTGCGTTCTTTTCATGCATACTTCAATTTGAGAGACGTTCAAAATATACAATGTAATATGCATTCGTCGGCAGTTTTCCACTTGGTGACTTACTTCACGAACAGTGATTTAAAATATTGAATGTTTCAAAATGAGAAGAAGAAAAACTTATGAAAAATCAACACTTTTTTTCTTGCTGGCGAATTTAAAAGTTATTTACAAACTTTCCTTGAACATGTTCAAAATTTATTTGATTCATCGAATTTCCAACTGAAGAAAAAGAAAACGAAGCGAATGATAAAAAGTGTACTTCAATAAGTTTTTCAATGCACTTTGGGATCTTGCTTCTTTTGAATAACCCATATTATTATTTTTTTATAAAAATTACAAGTTTTTCCTATCTCAGTGTCGTGGTCCTGTCACTTACTTTTTCTCCTTTTTTCGATATAACTTTCATTGTTTATCATATTCCTTTTGTATCATACTACAAAGTGACGGAGCAAGAAAAAAACTTTATCGTTCAAATGCTATTTTGCCGTCATTCACCTATTTTCCCCTTTTCTCTCTTTCACTTGATTTTGTACATTTTTGTTTTTCCGTTTTCGTTTGTCGTAACCAAATTGATTTCCATAATTTCGATCAATTTGAGCAATTGAACAATTTTCGTTAACTTATTTCATTTTTTTTTTGTTTTCATTTATCGTAACGATGTTGTGTGTGTGAGCCATGTCGTTCGTATAACTCGATGTCGTATTACAATTTATTTTCCAAACCAAAAATGCAGTAAATGAATGAATTCAATGATGATTTTAAATCGTCACACTTAATTTTTTATTTCTATTTTCGAAACGAGCATTTTTTCCGTTTCAATTGCAATTTTAGTTATTTTAGTTTTTAAAAAAAGAGTCGAATTTAGAGTTTGTAATTGATAGCAATAATTTATATTATTTTTTAAAATGAAAATGAAAGAAAACACCTAGTGATCGAACAACATTTTAGTGGAATACGTAAGTCTTAGTTAGAAGTACCATATAAGAATGAAATAAATGATAACAATAAAAAGCAACAAACTTAGGTAAACTGTTGTGGGAATGATCTGATTTGGTATTTAACATGCCAAACTATCGTTAAATTAGGTTATGCGAACGAAAAAATTGTATCTCCCCGATAAATCCCCATATCATAAATTCAATGGAGTCAGCAATTGAAAACTCTCTCTATTTCTCTCTATCAAGCAAAATCTATATATCTTTCTCGTGCAACATATGACACACGAGCAGGTTGCTTGATACGAATATGATTGATCACACTATCTTATTTTTCTGCTCTTGTTTTCTTGTCACTAAGAATGTGTCACCTGAAAACCAATTTGGCGCACTGAAAACGAACAGCCAACACTCAACATATACACACAGATTCATTACATTCGATTTTTTATCGTTATTTTTATTCTTTGTGTCAAGTAGGAGAAAAACCAAAAAAAGACAGGAAATTTAAAACAAAAGTGAAAAATATCAAACGAAAAAGAATTTAATTTAAAAAAAATACATGAAACAAATTTTATAAACAAATGCGAATAACCCAAAAAAAATCAAACACACAAAACTGCTAACCTCTATGTCTCTCGAAGGAATGCCGTGATATTCTGTGTTGTCTTTCTTTGTTGCAAATTTTTTTAGGCGTTGTACTCTTCTCATCGGCTGTTTATTTTGCGGAAGCTGGAAGCGAAAATTCCTTCTTCAAATCGATACCAGATGCTTTTTGGTGGGCGGTCGTTACCATGACTACTGTTGGATATGGTGACATGACGTATGAAAGCCAATTTATTTGCGCTTTTTTACTAACAAACTATTTGCCAAAAAAACAACAACACAAAACAAATACAACAACAAGTTCTCTTCTCTTCTTTAACACCTATAATAATTTTCATTTAACAAAAAAATAACATTGTGTTCCTTTGACATTGAGTTTCGTTGAATTGATTGAACGCATTTATCGTTTATTCTCTCTCTATCTCTCTCTTTTTAATGAAAATAACAAAGTAACCAACAACATTTTATTTTAACCACACACACACACCTCTCGAACGCAACAAACACTTTTAACAACAACACACACACTCGCTTCCACACATTTTTCTATCTCACACATACACATTTATCACATACGGCATTTTTATTGAACTTCTTCAAAAAAAAGTAAATTTTGTATGGCAAGATTCATTTCAAATTGGATATATAAATCGAATCAATTGATTAATTTAAAATTTCAATCAACATTTCAAATTTATTGAGTTTAATTCAATTTCAATTGACCAATCGTCACGTATTAATTGATGTTTCCATTCAAAAACTGACTTCGCAAAATTAGCTTGCACAAAATAATCTATTCATTCTATTTCTTTGTGTGTAAATTCAATTTTCAAATCGCATGCAATCGGAAAATTCAGATCCACGGACATTTTTCTCGGCTTTATAATCTATATATGTTTTTGAAGACCTTTCATTATAACATTCTGCTTTTTTTTATTTCAAAAGAAGTCAATTTCATTTTTGATTACCACTTTGCTTCTCTTCATTGTTAGACATCCACAAATTCAAAGAAATATGCCATTTCTTAAGCAACTGAACAACATAAACTACACCAAAATACACAGAAACACATTTTTCATAGCAGTTTTCATCATTTAGAGCTTACACAAATTTCCTTTGTTTTATTCTTTGTTTTAGCAAGTCGTTGTTATTTTTTAACTAGAATTTTGTCTTTCCAAGAAAACGTTACCATTCAAAATTCACCATCAACATATTAGATTTTTACACCGAGATGTTTTTAGAGAGCAGAAAATGCATTCAAACGTTGCATTCATATCGAACTCGCATATTCAAAAGCTACAACAATCAAATTCGAACAATTATCGCTGAAAACAACCCAAAATTCCTTCGATTAGATTTTGTTTTTCTATTCAAATTGTTATTGGAAATCACGTCGAAATGACATCTGTTTTCGCTCACACGAGAATAAAAGAATCGCTTTGATGTCGGTGCGAATCGAACGATCGATGTGAATTCAAACGAAACTGTCAAAATAGAGCATTTATCATTCATCAATATTGTAATAAAACAAAACTCCATCTTCTCACTTAGCCGATCGATGTGTTAAACGTGTTCAAGAAAAATCCGGTACGAATTCTCCCATTCACTTCCGTTTCGCATTGGTCGCATGTTCAAAATAGATACACGATGATGGTGTATTTGACACAGATTGGTTTCATTAGCGCAAAGAATGAGTACCGGCTGTTTTTCTTGAACAAAACAAACAAAAACAAAACAAGATTGCATTTATATTTCATTCCATTCGTTCGCATATAAATCTGCCGCTATTTATTCGATCCAAAACATTTTTTTTTGCACCGATTCGACCTATAATTCATCAGCAAGTAGATATATTGAAGCATCTATTGTTTTTTTCTTCTTTTTGTTGAATCATGTTTGTATTTATAGTATTGAATTGGGCGAAAGATTCGTTGTTTCAAAATAAAATTGTTTCTCTCTTTCTCTCATTTGAATTGATTTTAATCGCTTTTAATAGATAATCGGGTGAAATGAATCGTGTATCGTTGTCGGTCCAAAAAAATAAATCGACTCCGAGTCGACGATCGAATTTCACCCCAAAAAAAATTGTAATTGAAAAAAAATCCCACCCCCAAAATGCCACACAATTTTTAGTCACACAAAATGCCATTTTTAACGCATACAGTCAATTGCTGCTCCACTTTTTAGTCGAACAAAAAAAAACTAGCATAGATTTGTATGAGAGTTTTTTTAATTGATTTTTTCTTTTACTTTTTCGAATTGTCAACAAAAAGAATCGAGCTTTTTTCACATTTAGCTTTAAGTTCCTTTCAATTTTCTACACACACAAAAAAAATTCGACAAAAAATGTTATACTTTTGATTTCGTGATTGGATTTTCTTGGCTCGAAAATACTCTTCTTATTATTGCTAATAATCAAAAAAATATAATTTAAAAAAACAATCCTCCCACAAACAAAAACAGAAGATCTAGTTTATTTAGAAAGTTCAATGTTTTCATTCTAATCAAATTTACATTTTCGACAAGCATATTGAACACATACACGGCTTATTATAAATTGCGATAAAAATATTAATAATTGTAATCAGTCTATGTATTTCGGATGGATATCCATCCGAGATATTTTAGAATATCTGGATATTTAACGCAACTGCACAGAGCCAGAGCTGTGTGCGTCGCACATATAATCTACGGTATGTCGCTACACGTAAAATACAGACACAGTGTGACTGTGTACGTGCGACACTTGATACACATATACGTCGCAACATACCGTAGATTCTATTTGCGACGCACACAGCTCTGGCGCTGTGCAGTTGCGTTAAATATCCAGATATTCTAAAATTTCTCGGATGGATATCCATCCGAAATACATAGACTGATTGTAATAATGTCTGAATTCTATGATTTGTATTTAAATAGTTGGTAGAACATTGTATAAACGATTTCGGTGCCAAATTATAGTTTGCAGTTAATTCAATGTGCTTGTTTGAAATTAAGATAAATATGCCGAAGGAAAAAAGAAACGGATAAAAGTGAATAGCTGTTTGCACTTACAAATCCATTTGCATGTTCTGCCCGAAAATGTAATTTTAGATTTAAAACGAATGAACAGAGCGCAAGCAGGAAGAAAATAGAACTGTATATGGAAATTATTGCTTAACACCTGAATTTGACTACTTAACATTTTGTTGTTTTGTTTCTTGAATGCAATGTTTGCATGTTATCTGTAAATATCACAATTTTGTTTATTTTTGGGTGTTCTCTTCATGTTACATTACTATGTTAACACCATCACTGTAAAACAAAACAGAAATAAAACCGTAACTGAATCACAAATTATCTGTTGAATTTACGAGTTACCTTGTGTTATTTTGTTTTATTGCTGATATTAATTTTTTTTGTTTCGTTTCGTATAATTCGAATATAATTTGAAGTAAAACGATTTCATTGTTTCTATGTGTGTATCATATAATTTAGACCGGTCGGCGTATGGGGCAAAATTGTTGGATCATTATGTGCCATTGCTGGTGTGTTAACCATTGCTCTTCCAGTTCCTGTGATAGTTAGCAATTTCAACTACTTTTACCACAGAGAAACTGATCAGGAAGAGATGCAAAGTCAAAACTTTAATCACGTCACTAGTTGTCCATATTTGCCGGGAACATTAGGTAACGTAAATTGATCTGATTGGCTTAATTCAATAATCAAATACTCATTTGATTGTGTTAATTAATGTTCACTTTGTTTCCTGCGAATAGGTCAACATTTAAAGAAATCCTCACTGTCTGAATCGTCATCGGATATGATGGACTTGGAGGATGCTGTTGATACGACACCAAATCTAATGCCTGAATCGCAGATGCGTTTAGTTCCGTTTTTTGGAACAACGGCTACGACAATGGAGAGATCGCTGCAGCCGAACAATTGCTACAAGCAAACATCGACCAACGGTCATAATGCTCAACAGCAGCGTCACAACAGTGCGTTGGCCGTTAGCATTGAAACAGATGTTTGACTACTGGGTAAGTTTTTGTGGAAAAAATATTAACTAACATGAGTGAAAATATGTTCGAAATGCTTTCATTGAGACCGCTTCAAATAAATATTTATGATCGGCATAGTTAAATAATTGATTCTCTTCTTGCATGCGTCATTTGGCATTTTTTTTTTCTCGCGCATCTCCTTGCCACCCCATCAAAATAAACGAACGAATGAACAACATACAGGTCACCTAATTACGATTTTACCGAAATTTACCAAAGCTACTTCTAAATTCGCTATCACCTAAATCAATCGCAATATACACTTAGTTCAGATGATGAAAGAAAGACAGAAATAAAAGAGAGACAGACGAAATACCAAAATGTGAAGAGCAACCACAACAACAGCAGAAACAACAGAGAAAAAAGAAATCGAGATTGATTGACAGCTAATATTATTGAATCTGCGTGTAAATATATGAAATTTCAAAATGGAATCAAATACATTTTACATAAAATGCAATGCGAATAAGCGAGAACCTATAAATTAAACCCAATTAAAAACATGATAGACAAAATAACAAAAAAAGGATGAGATTTACCAAAAAAAATAATAATAATAACTAAATAAATACCATAGAGTTTAGTGTCTTGCAAAGCAGAAATCCCCCGATCTCTTCGAAAATACATACATGTGTTTATTAATATTGTTTATTATTTTTCGCTCCGCTCGAGACACCAACAAGATATTTACATGAAATTCGCCGCCATTCATTGAGATTTTAAAACCACACTCTATCCTCCTCCCCCATCGTTACCACATCTATATAAAAGCAAACAACAGCCGCAGCAGCAGCAGCTAATTTTATCAAATACGTAAGATATAAGTGAAGAATTCAAACAAAAATCCAAATAGCTTCTATCAGCGGCCGCAAACTGGATTTTACTTTACTCATCAACTCTCTCTCTCTATCTCTCTCTCGCTCGCTCAGCACCAAAAAAAAGCAATTAATATAATTTATTAAAATAACAACTCGGACTCAATGTTCAACATATACAAACGATGAATGGATTATCGAATCAAGCCTACTTCGAAACAATGATATGCATATGTCTATGTTGGTTAATAGAAAAACAGACACACACAAAACCAAAACAAATGCTGAGACTAACAATATTTTTATCAATAAATTAAAATGAAACAAACAAAAAACAACAGAAACTATGTAAAAACAAATCGTATAGAAAAGATTATCACCAAAAACTTATTCAAATTCAGAGACAATTTAAGCTAACAAATTAAAAATAATTTACGAATGTGAAATAGATGGGAAAACAAATCGAACGGGAGAGAATGAGAGAAAAGAATGCAATAACGGAAGCCGAGCGAAAAACAAAAAGAAATACCACGAATAGACAGCGACACGAACAAGAAATAGAGAAGAGTGAATGACGATGACGACGACGAAAATGAAATGTAACGAAGCAAATGATAGTCAATAGAGTTGAATGCCTATCATGCGATTTGCAATTTGCGCTTTAAAGGCTAGAGAAATGTGCAATTTACAATGTCAAAACATGCAATGAAAATTGGGCGCACGAACTTCCACACATACATCACAGATATTTTCTCGCTCTCACACACACACATAAATACAAAATAACCATTTCATTTCTTCAGTGGCTTGTTTTTCGTGAGAAGTAATGTAGAGAGAATAAAAATCCGCAAAAAAATCCAAACTTTAGTGGAAATCGAAACAAAAATAGAACGCTACAGGCAATAATATTACACAAAAATCCGATGGAAATATGCAGAAGCAGCTGTTAGTTATACTGTTTAATTAAAAAAAAGAAATAATCAAACTAAAGACATGCAAGATTTAAAAAGAAAAATATCGAAATAGATTCATTGAAAGCTCACACCGTACCAGAAAGAGACTAATATTAGGTGTTAAGCGGGGTGAAACTTGTTAAAATAATAATAAAGATTCACCTTTAAATACACCGTTTTACTGAATGAACTTAAACTAGCCGAAACAATTTTTTGGATTACAAACCACACATTTCGTAGAGAATATTCTAGATCAAAACATAAAGCCTGAACACACACAAACACTCACACATACAAAATGCAATTAGAATAAAGTGAAAATATGAAAAGAATGAAATATTGAAATGTGCATCGCATGACAAACATTCAAATTTGCAGTCAAATTATAAATCCAAAAGACACAGTACAATTTTGAACTTTGAGACTTTTGATCCCCTCCTTGTTTTCAGCTTATTTATTCATAGATTGTGTGTTTTCTTTTCGGATATACTCACTCCAACTTTTTGACATTGTGCATACACGTATTCATTGCATAAGAAGGACTGCAATTGATTTATTTTTTTCCTTTCAACGTCCAAACACATAAACACACATACACAAACTATTTTTGAAACGATTGTATTATACAACAAAAGAAAAATCAATTGTTTCTTTCAGAAACCTCGCTTATGAAAAGGAACTACTAAGATATGGACTATTTTCGAGTCGAATTTTTACATACAATATTTTTTGCGTGCCTACAATCTTTGTTTTCCATCCTACAATCAAGACAAAAAAAAAGAAACGCATCGAGTCTAATCACATTTTCTTATTTTACAACATTTTCCTCATGTATACGCTTGCTCTATCTATCTGACACTCACATTCAAACATAATTCACGTATTGGCGCATATGTCTGTTTTTCACTCCGAAATGGCATCCAGTGCACCTTTGCACCAACATAAAAGCGAATTTTCACCTTTCAAAAAGCACATCTTTTGTTCGGTAATATTTGATCCTCTATAAAGTCAACTCTTTCATCTCATGCGCTTCGTTCTCTCGAACATTGTTTGCTTTCACCATTCAAAGGAGAGAAGAAAAAATATATGAAGAAATAAGCCACTGCATAAGCCTCAAGACAAACAAACAAACAATTAAAATACAATGAATCTGCCCAGAAAACACTTCCAATAAGACAAACAAAAACTGATATTTTGACATGTTTTACAACGAGATATCATGCCTTACAACATGTTTCATTTACTCGATTGAGTTGAACACAAAAAACAACAGCAACAACATTCGTCTCTTTTATTCTTTTGAACATTCGCGCGCGTCACATTTATGTTTACAAAATGCATCACAATACATACAAACAAACACATACACGCATGTATGCATTTTCTTTTTTGAAACATTTCGTTTCAATCGCATTTAAGAATCATGAATGAATAGAACGAAGAAAAACTATAAATATCATCAAAAAGCAACAAAAAAATGGCTTGAACTGCATAGAGAAGAAATGTGAGCCAATTCATTCAAATTGTACTACGAACACAAAAACTAAATTACCGTTAGGCTTCCAAAAAATTGCAAGACTTTCATAGTTCAGAGTTTTATTGTCAATTATGCTCCGAAGCGACTCACTTAACTTATACAAGAGAAAATTAATCAATCCAATGACATGAAACGTTCAAAGTAAAAAAGAAAGCACTAGCAACTCTACAACGATTAATCGGATCTTAAGAACACTTTTGGCTTTGGTTCTTTCAATGGACTGGATTACTTTTCTTTGACCTGCCTGTTTCCTCTCTTTGACTTATTACAAAGAAGTTCTTCTGGCAATGCATCTTTTTTACAAAAGCAAAAAAAAAGTTTTTGACTCTTGAACAAGAAATTATCGAAATGACTAAAAGCAAACGAAGAAGTAATCATGAATTTAAAAAGACTTATTTTTCAATAATTGAAAACATTTTTTTTTTGGGGCTGACTGCACGGTCAGAGCTTACGAAATACATACTTTAGATAAATATCAAGTGGGTGTGACTGTGCATCGATCCAAGCGCGAATGAAAATCTTGACTTTAATTGACTTAAAGTGATCTGGATCGATACTATCACACACTCAATTTTTTGTTTAGATTTAAATGGTCCCTTCGGAAATTAGTGAATAAAAACAACACACAGATTTAACAACTTAAATGTTCATGAAAATTGAGAAAATAAAATAAATGTAGTGTCATCTATGTTTTTCAAAAAAAAAAATACTGTTCATGTTCACGTTTTCAATATAAAAACGATATTGTGTAGACGAGTTGTTTGGTTCCGTGGAAATCAAATCGGGTGTTTTGATCGCTCAAGAATATATAAATTGATCATTTTGTTTTCGGGAGCGCTGAAATTCTATCCGTGAGTTCCGTTTAAAAGGTCGCACTCAACTCGAACCAAAAATAAAAAAAATTACTGGCTATTATGTTAAAATATGTATCAATTGGTGTACTGTATGTTCAGCATAAGAGAATGAAACAAAAGAAAAAAAACTTATAGTGTCGATTGAATTTAGCAAAATGGTAATTCTGTACTTCAATATATTTCTCTGTGAATTCGATGTTAGTTTTCCTCAGATGAAACAAAATGAAAAAAAATATATTTAGATATATTTAATTTTGTTCTCTCTTGGACTGTAGTTATTTTTATCTGGCTAATCTATTTAAAACAAAAAATGCTTGTAAAATCTATTTCTTTTCCTGGACAGTCTATCCTGCATCTATCAATCACTCTCTCATTTATTCGTTTTGATCAAATTTATTTTTGTATTTATTTCTCTTATTTAATCTCTTTTTTATTTAATCGACAATCAGTGTACGGTTGTAAGCAACAAGGAAGTCGAAACTATCATTTTGACAAATAGTTCTAATTTTTTTTCTCGATTTAATTGTGAGTCTTTTAGTTTTGTCAATAATCAAATCTTCTTATTCACACAAACATATACCCAAAAACAACAATCTCGCGTCCACAAGGTCAAAAACGCTCTACATGGTGCAAACCACACACTATAAAACTAATAAAGTAAATAGATAAAAAAAAGAAAAGAAACAACAGAACATCCATTCACCAAAGAGAACATTTAATAAAAAAAAAGAATGCAACATTTTTTGAACAAATAAAATAAATAATACAATTTACCGAAGAAAAAAAAATGCAAAAAAATAGTTCATTCTATTTAAATAAAAACTAATTTAAAAAGTATTCTATTTAAACACTTAAAGAAAAAAAAATTAAAAAAATTTATAATTAAACAAAAAGAACAACAACAATGACACACTAGATATTTTAAAATATCTCATATCTCTTCTTTCATCATAAAAAAAATTAGATTCTATACGTAGACGAACAAACGAAAGGTACGAGCAAAAGACGAAAGCCGTTCGAATAAAATGTCAATGAACATAGCTAAAATGAATTTAATGCGATTTTAAGCAAATTAGCCAGAAAGATTTAAAGAAAACTCATTTAAAAAAAAAACTACCATATTTTTAGCGATTTCGATTTCGTGAAGATAAAACCATTTTTATTGATCTTAATCACATAAAATTGAAAATAAAATCACATTCACCAATGAATATTAAATAGAAAAGAAAGACAAGAATTCAATGCTCACAATGCGTTCGGTCTTCTTTTTTCACCGATAAAATTTCAACAATAGACGATACTGATTAGACAGATCATCAAAACTATTTAAATAGAAAAGAGAAAGAAAAACGTAAACACATATCGAGTAAACTAAACAATTAAACGTTTTTATTTTCGAATTTTACTTTTTCCTATTTTTTAAAAAAAATATGCTAATATGTAATGAATTTTATTTTCTTCGGTCCAGCAGCTGCATATTACGCCGCCATGTACGAATTTTTTGCAAATGCATTTTTGCCCTAATCACACACATCATTTTTCGAGAAATTCGGTTTTATATAGTCGATGAAAATAAACGAAACAAAAAATATCCTTTTCTCCAACTATATTCCTCCTCTCACTTCCTCCATTCAATTTAAAAAAAACATTTTTTGCCTGTCATCGTCGAGAGTTACTCGAACGATTTTAAGCGGATATTAAGCATTAATAAAAACGAACAAACGAAATGACAAGATTTTTAAAAAAATGCGCACATTTCACCAAACAACAAAATGAATATTTCGTTTGCCTCTAGAGACCGATGATGATAACACGTCCGGCTGTAGAAGTGCGATAAAGTGTTAGTGATGTGTGTTCTAGGCATTAACAACGACAGAGGCAAATGTACTTAGACTGCATATCACGAATAAACAACAATAATCTTTGAGGATTCATTTTTAGCAACAATTTGAACAATTTTTTTTCATTTTGCAAAAAAGTGCGCACATCATCATCGATTACATACATATTATTAACGCAAAAAAAGTACATGGACAATTAACGAAGCTTACACACAAAGAAGTGGAGTCATGAGAAGAAGTATTTTTCATGAGGAGGAGATGAAACATATTGCGAAAAATCAATTAAAGAAGAATTCAAAAAAAAAATCGATATGTTGAAAACATTGGAGAGAAAGGAAGCAGAAGAATATATGAGAGAAATCTTGTATTTCATAAAAACAATCCAAATACGATCGTATTCAAAAAGCAACTTAGTTAATTCAAATTGAATTTTTTCTTCATTATTTTCATAGCACAATCAAATCAATTCACCAAATCATATCCATTTTCAGCACATACTCACACATACTTCGAACAAAATGCGAACTTTTATTTCATTATCGCAATTCGTTTTAATTTTACTGCGTCAAAGAAAGATAGATATATATATATTAATACATTTGATTTTTCGGTTCGACCTTGTGCATCGCGGTGTGAAATGAACATTGTCAAATAAACACACACACACAAACTTACATAATTTTCATTGGAAATTTAGGTTTTAACAGAAATCATATGACTGAATAAAATATATAGATTTTAAACTAAGTTTCACAATTGTATTTTTTTAAAATAAAAAAAAATTGAACAAACAAATGAACGAAATGCAATCACAGTGTCACAATCCAAGACACAACAAAAAACTGAAACAATCTGCTTCTGTTTACTTTATTTCCTCATCATCGTTCGTAAGATCATATTCAATTGGCTCGAATCTATGTCTAAATTAAAGCAACATCAAATCATATCCACACACACACATCATCGAATTGCTTTTCGAATATTTTACCAGAATAATTTAGAATAAATTGAAAAAAAAAAGAATCATTATTATCGAAATCAATTTACCTATATCATTTTGCTCCAATTTAGTTATGACAGTGATCAGAATCAGAAAGCGCTTTTTAGCTTTTGTGCTAAAATCAATCAAATTAGTTTTTAAAGAAAAAAAATAAGATAATTTTTGTTAAATCGAATCAATTTGGAATGAAAGAAAGTTTTATCTTTATTTTCAGTTCGATCAGTTTTAAGAAGTATTTAAGTTTTTTGCCTTTGTCCGCTCCCTCCTGAATTTACTTCACATTTTACGAATATATTTGATATACGTTCATCAAACAAAGAAAAAGAGTAAATAAGCAAAGAAAAAACGGATCGGTTCTGCCAAAGAAACTATCAAATATGAGAAACAATACTGACAGTTTTTCGAACGAAAACCATGCTCTTGATATTATTTTTCTTTCAAATCAAGCAAAATAAACCGTCCTCTCATTTTTTTGACAAAAATCCATTTTCTTCTTCTTTTTTGAATGATTTGTTTTTCTCAAACTGTTTTTCAATTAATCTCTGTGAGTCTTATTTAATTTCGTCTTCGTCTCCTTATACAAAGCCAAAGGTGCTATTAATAGTTGGCTAAATCTTCAAAAACTTTGCATTTTTATCAGATGCAAATTCTGAAGAATGTAAAAACCAAAGAAAATGAATTCGATTTTGTTAAGCAGCTAAGTTATCTCTCTATCTCTCTTTCGCACACACATACTCACACAAACATATTCATATAATATTAGAGATTAATAATTGACATTCAAATCGAAGCTTATGAATAAAAGAGTTGAACATTTAATCAAAATTTTCATAACTCAATTTGATAAATATATTTTCGATAAAAATAAAGTAAAAACACACTTAAGGCCAAAAAGGATGAATTGTTTGATTCTCAATAAGAAAGAATAATTGCTCAATATAAAAAATACTTCTAGCACATGAATATTTAATCAAACCAGTGCGTTTGCCGTTTGAGACCAGTGTGCACAATTGTAAATACATACACATTGTTACAATTTTTCCGCCAAGTTCTTCATAAATATTATTTTTGGTCATAATACTAAGCTTAAAACATAAAACTTGATACACATACAAGATGGACTTTTTACACTCTCATACACGAAGATATCCTAATCTGTCTCTGATTCAAAAGAGAATAAAACCAAAACCAAACTCTGAAGGTATAACATTTCCGTCACTCACTTTTTTGAAGAAATCGTAACAAACAATAATGCGTAAGATTGCCAGCGAGCTTTTTAATGCAATAATCAACCACCCATTCCTTCACATACACATATATAGGAAAATTCAACGTCGCAACTCGATAAATCATTTAGACACGTTTGATGTTTTCTTTGGCGTGACCACGACACGATTCAAAATTTACGTTGTTTTTTTTATTTCATTGAACACAATGCATACACTTTGACTTGATTTCTTATGATGAAAATAAGTTCTACACTTTCATTTTGAACAACCAAAAACCAAAATAAAAAAAAATGTACATATTTAAGAAATGAAACCTTCGCTGAACAAATAAAATAAAAATTACTAGTATAAAACAAACAATTTCCAAACAACAAATTAAATTATAAATAAATTCGATATAATTCTTAAACAAAAAATAAAAATAAACATAAAATCCAGCAACATAAGATCAATTTTAATAGTAAACAATAACAAAAAAAATCGCAAAATAACCAAAGAGAAACGAGAATTCGAGTGATTGCAATGTGAAATAATATTTAAACAAGAAAATTTATGAAAAAAATGGTGAACCATGCTCAATACGTCCAATGATCGATTTTATTATTCGATTTAAATTAGATGCGTGCGCCGATAGATTCAAACAAGAGATAAATAATTGGCCGAATGATTTAGTTCGTAAACGGCCGGCATCGACAGAGGTGTTTGTCGCGTTTCTCTGATTCGTTCGGTAAACACGAAATTGAAACATTCACTACGCACATCCGATATCGATATGCACACAAACACCTCTGCCGATTCCTAGTATGCGTAACACAAACACAATTACACACACACACTCTCTCTATCTCTATCTCATTCGAAAAAATGTACGCAATTTGAAAATTGTGCGAGAAATGTTTCCAAACGAGATTTGGCTGTTTTTAGTTATTTTGCATTTGTCATTACAATGTTGAATTCCGCTTCGATAGGTGTATGGAAACATTTTGAGAAACAAAAATGATGCACAACTAAATTCCAATAGATGAACATAGACATCCAATAAAATCGCATACAATTGTACGTATTGATGATGATTTTTTTAGGTAGAAATACACACAATTCAGAGCAGCCAGAAACTTGCAATTAAAAAAAAACACATTGCATTGCGAATATTTTATTGACGAAATATGCAAAAGTATTTATTGAACTAACGAAACGGTAAAAACAGTTATGAAGGCGTACATAGGCAAAATTATTATGAATTTTAAATATTGTCCCCTCCTCAACCAAAAAAAAAAACAAGAACTAGCATCATAAACAACATTAAAAAAAGCAAAAACACAGGTTATATTAACGAATTAATTGAAAAGTTAATCAGTAAATTGAGAACAAAATTATTACAGCAACAAATATTATGATTAGCGAGCGACACACATACAATCACATAAGCCAAGAGACATTCACACAACATACAAGACAAGCATATAATTCATCTCTAACAAGTTACTCTCTCAACCCAAAAAATAAACACCGACAAGCTAAACTAAAGAAGAACTTCAGTTTTTCTGTTCTTCTTCATTTTATTGTTTTGAAGAAGAAATTGTTTTCATTTTCACAACAATGACGGGGAAAAAAACCAAAATGACCTTATGATTATTATTTAAAAAGTAAAAGAAAAATGAAACTGTATAAACCAAAAATGAAATCTCAGCATATAGAAACATAAAATAATATCGAGAGAGACAAAATAATGAATTATACGAAATAAAAACAAAAAATATCCAGGAGAAAATATATATATATAAATCAATGACTTGTATTTTAATTTAAAAGCTTATAAATTATGAATACACGTTTAAGCAAAAAATAAAAATAAAATAAAACAAAGAAAATACCAAAAAAAAAGAGAATAGATAGCTTGAGTCCAGCTCTCTGATCAAATTTATTTTCGAAATCGTTCATTGACGCGTGCTCACCGTTCTCGCCGCGCCACATTGACCGATCGGTTGCAATTTCAAGCAAATTATTTGTTCGAAATGACACAAACTCAATATTTCTCTCACACAGAAAATATTTTCGCGCAAAATTGCTGCTATTCAAATATTTAAAATAACAATGAAAACCAAATACACAAGGGACGAGTATGACAAAAATAAAGAATAAAACGACTCTTTTGAACACAGTAGAAGAATTCTTTTGATTTTGGTTTAGTTATTTTTTTTGGTTTCGTTTTTTTCATTTGTCACACCAAAAAAACGTAGAGAGAGGTAACATACACAAAACAAAAAAAAAATATACAAAGAAAAAATGAAACGACAGAAACAATTTATCTAATTTAAGTAAAAATGAGATTAAAAATTTAGAGAAACAAAAATTACCAAAAAAAAATGATGAAATAAAATTACATATGAGAATTAAAAAAAAAGATGAGAGAAGAACATAGAATAAAAAATGACGTTGTTAAGATATAAAATGTTTTATAATCGTTACAAGATATACGCTGCGAATAAATCAATCCACACATTCCTCCAGAAAAAATCAATAAAAAACGATATCGTGTTTCATTAATAGATTGACGCTTGAATATTTTTAGATTCTTACACGTATTTGATTATATGCAATTCGGCGACCATCCCGACTAATCTAGATCTAGAATGTGATTAATAACTCGTCATGGGTATGTTTTTAAAGTTTTCGTTGGTAAGTATGGCATTATATTAATCAAATACTAAATCAATTACGGAACTGAACGATTTTGTGCATTTTAAGATCATCTTCTCTTTGCCGATCTTATGCACATATTATTGTTCGAAATGTCAACGGCACTTACAAAAACGACAATGAGTAAAAAAAACTCGACCAATTTAACATGTTTTCGTCTCTTTCAGTTTGTGCACACCTTTCCAACTGATTCTAATCATTCACTCATTCGCTCGTGCTGTTAATGTTGCTCGTGCTATTGCGAAAACTGAATGCTTCCAGTTTTGGTTTGCTTTAGCATCAATAAGAAAAAGTTGATTCAAAAATGCTTTTGATCAATTATTTGTCTTATGTTAATTAGATTAAATGTATGTGTTTCAATTTACGGTATTGAAGCAAATTCTGTTTTGGATGTTTATTGAAACATTTTGAGAATGCTACTGCTTAAGCGATAATTGTACGCAACGGAATGGATGATGACCAAAGCAAGCACATGCCAATCGCCTGTTTCACACTGATCTCATACCGTAGTGCGAAACGGACATAATAATAGACAGATTATGTTGATGAGTTAAATGACTGACCCGTCGCCGTATATTTGCTTTAGAATATCACGCTGACGGAGAATCAAATGGACAAAAAAAGACACTCACACACGTTGATGGTAATGGCATTTTGGCAGATGAAAAAAAAACGACGGACGTGCGGCGTCCACCAGTCACATGGTTTGCAAAATATTGCCTTATATTGCCGCGGAATCCATACATCGCATACCTTTTAGCCATATCTTCTTTCTTACGAAAATACAGTCTTCTTCTTCTTCTTCATCGCCGTTGTCGTTGTTTTTTTTTTGTTCGTGTGTAATATGCTTGATTTTAATTAACGCACAACACGATGACGATAGATACGTTGATGACGTATTCTCGATGCGGATATAAAAAGCGAGAGCATTTTTTGAAACAACTATTAGTCTGCGGTATACATTGGTTGTGCGACGACGTGATCATAAAATGAGTCCTTTTGTGGTGAGTTCAGTGTAATATAAACAACGAATTCTTTGGAATTTAACAGGCAATTTATGTGAATGAATCTTTTTTAAATCCGGGTGTTTTGTTGCATAAAAAAAACTTATTGACGAAAGAAAGAGTTCTTGTTAAAGATAGTTGTTGATAAGAAGTAGTCTCGGGAGAATAAAAAATAATTTTCAAAAAATGTATCGATTGATGATAATCGAAAGAAAGAGATTAATGATAGTCCAGTTTTTTTCTCGTGAAATTCTCGACAAATTGCTGTAAAATAAACGAATCGATCAAGAGTGTAAAATAAAACTTATTCGCTTGATAAATCGATTAAAACACACATAAAAAATGTCGATTGACAAAAAATTTCGTGATTGAAACAGGTTTAACTCGACTTTTCGTCGTTGCTTGCATGCTAACCCATGCTTACACATCTCGAACTATGCAAAGCGAATATTGATTTAAAATCAACAAGAAGAAACAAAATGATTTCAAAAACATATAGAAGTGACATAGTTCTCACCGTTTGGTATCTTTTTTTTTAAAAAACAAAAGCCAAATACGGTCAAAATCAAACCACATATTTTGGATATTTATAACACGCCGCCGAATTTTCGAACTATTTTTTATTTCGCGGCTGTAAACATACACACGCGATAGCTAATAGCATAAACCTTTTAATAGCCTTCAAATTACCATGCTCGCAGATCGTTTGGCACTTTTGCGATGTTTGTGCGTGTAAACTTAGAAACAGAAGATTTGAAATTCAAAAAATTCGATCAACGCATATTATTCTTAACCTTAAATGGACCCAGATATTCAATCTCAAAAATGTATGGTAAATGCAAATCAATTGATCGATCACTGTGTGTTAATATGTTTATTTATCGATGCGTCCGCAATCAATGACATTTCAAAAAACTCGATTCAATAATATAATTTAGTTTTGAATGCTGTAACTTCGGTATGCTGTAATTATAGTACACGTCTTGATAATGATATGCAAAATATAAACAGACGCACCAAAGTAGTAAATTGATCTACTATAAAGCAAGAGCATTTGTCGGAAATAAATCATTTGATTTTTTTTGATGTGGTTCAAAACAGGTACCAGTAACTATTTTGGCAATATTGTCAGTAGCGAATGCGGACGTTAGCCATTTACAAAAACAAAATGGATATCAATATGCCAATCTTGGTCTAACGAGCAATTTAAAATTGCATACACCAGAAAACAACCCGGCTCCTACACAATATTTTGCCACATACGGCGATGAGAATGCCGCTGCCAAATTGCCAAACAGCTATGTGCCTGTGCCGGCCGGAAATCCCTTTGGTTCGGTAGCTCCGCTGCCACGAGCATATCTAACACCAACATCAGAACTTAGACCACCAATCCGTCAACCAACTCCAAGATTATCGGCTCCTTTACAAAGCCCATTGCTATCTGGACAACAATATGGACAGGGTCAAGTACAACCTCAAACAACCTACCAATTCCCAAAAGGTCGTTCTTTGAACGGAGCCTTCTCTTTGCAATTAACACAACAGCAGCAATCATCGGTACAATTTACACCACAATTGCAGCAACAACAACAGCCTCAAGCCGCTTTCAGTAATAGTTTCGGACGAAGTCAATCTCAATCTCAACCGCAACAAAACCAAGAACCAATTATTACCAAACATTTTTATGTACATGCTGCCCCCGATGATCCAGAAGAAGACGTTGCCCCAAGAATCGTGCAAATTGGTTAGTAACGTTTGAATTATAAAAATGTTGTTGACATTTTCACATGATTTTTTATTGAGCTCTTGAACTTTTTAAAAATTCACAAGAAATCAAAAATGAAGAATAATGCAAATTTTATGCCATTTCTTTTCTTCGTTACCAATCTTATGTCATCACGCGTTTTTTTAAGAAACATTTTCACACATTATTTTCTCAAAAATGTTATAATCTCCGTTTTTAGGTCGCCCTCGTAAAAACTATAAAATAATCTTCATCAAGACACCAACCTATAGCGAAAAACAACAAATCATTCCGGTACTGCCACCAACCGAGGAGAAGACAATTGTTTATGTGCTCAGTAAGAAACCAACATTCAATCAAAATGTTCAAATACCCGAACCAGCGCCAACACGTAAGTGTCATCACTCCAAAATCCTGTTAATCGATTTAAGGTCAATGAAATGATAATTGGTTTGGTCTTTAACATTTTTCATCTTCTTCCTCCACTTCACCGCACTTATGCATTTGTAGAACCATCGAAGCCAGATGTCTTCTTTATCAAATACAAAACCAAAGAGGAGGCAGAACAAGCGCAACAAGAAATTCAAGGTGAGCAAAGCATTTAGCATGTCATTTCAATGTAATAATTGTGTAATTTTGTCTAACTGTAACATTTGCAATAAAATCGAACATCAATGGGAACAAGAAATGTTATGCAAATGGCATGTGACAAATTATCACTTTTACTTCACACATAGACTGAGTGTGTGCAATCATAATAACTAATAAAATGTTTTGTTTTTAATTAACATCGAATTTTAGCGGCCTACGATCAAGCAAATTTGTTGGGCAGCAGCGACGGTATCGGTCAAATTGCGGCACAATTTGCATCTGGCGCGAGCTTCGGTGGCGATCAATCGGCGATATTTGGAGGTCAAGACGAAACACAACAAAATGTGAACGGAGGTCAATACACGTCTACGACTCACAAAAAACGGCACATCGCATAAGATACACTTAAAAACAATCACATTCTCACAAACACATACACACAATCTATCTATCACACTCACACTGTCCATCCAATGGATATGTACGGTGTATCACTCTTCGTTTGGATTGACGCCAATTTCCATTTAAACGTTTTACATTTTATGTGATTTTTTTGTTTGTTTGCTATGAAAAAAAAAATCTCTATGTCTCTCGCTCTCACGCTCTTCTTCAGGAATGTACTACTCATTATCAGAACAAAATAATTTTTAGAAAAAAAAAAAATGCAAATCAATAGAGATTCTAAAGAAAAAAAAAAGATGCATACAAAAACAAGACTCAGACAAATGTTTTACAAAACATTATACTTTAATGGAATGAATCAAACAGACAAAAAAAAAACCGTGCAAAATAAGAATTGATATTATGAAAAGAGAAAAATAAAACTCATTTAAAAATTAATGAAGTAAGCTTTTTTTTATTTAATGAATAAGAATTCGTTTCGGTGATTAGATTCGATTTCACCTTTGATTTTGATTTGTATTTCCTGAAAAAAATTGGGATTTAAATGTAATTCGATTGCTTTTGAAGAGACACCTCATCATTTGAACTCATCAAAGCCAAATTATCCGTTAAACATTTGGGGCGTTACAGTCGCATTCTGATTTACTGCATTCCATTTAAAAATGGAACCTGTTAAACTCGATCTCAATATTGCAATGAATGATTTTATTCAATCCAATTTTTTTTTGCTTCCAAGAAATCTTAATTGAGATCAACAATTAACTCGCTTTTGTATTGTTAACCTTTTGAAAGAGAATCATCTTCAGATTCACAGCAAAACAAGTATTAATCTTCAGGCTTAGACATTTCATTTTATTTGCATTTATTCACTATACAATAAATTAAAAAACAAAACAGAAAAAATTGACAGCTCTAGATTCATCCAAGGATGCTTTTTTTCTCTACATCATTCTTAAAAACCAATTTTAAAAAAAAAAGTCGATAATTTTGTTCTACTAGAGAAAGTTTAAGTCGGTGTTTTCAAGATCAAAGTACATATGTTAAGTTAAGTATATGTGGTAAAATTGGTTAAAAGGAGTTACAATTTTGGTTAATCACATGACGACAAAAAAGGTGAGACTTTTCATTTGTATACATGTATACTAAAAAATATATGAAATACTAGTTTAAAAAGAGGATTTGGCATTGTCTAAGAATTACAGTGATGTGTGGATGTGGAGAGGTTTTTAAGATTGTGCTTTGCCATAACTTCCAGTTGGCGGCCGATACACTTGTGGCAGACTCAGCACTTGTGGCAAATTAAAAGCGTATTTACGGAGACCGATATTCTTCATCGTGTTTTCACTTCGTGTTCCCTCACTGAAAAAAATCAATTATCACATTTTAATAAAGTTATCGATTAATGTGATTATCACATTTAAGTAAAATTTGGACAAAAATGAAATGAATAAAATAATACAAACCTCCGCATTGTATCTAGTACGACTTGCACATTATTTGCCGGCAAATGGAATTCTTTTTGTAAGATACGGCACTGTTCCACGGTGATGGACATGGCTGTTCGATCTTTGGCACTTTTGCAAGAAGTCAAACGTAATCCGTGCAAACCACGACAAATATCTTCAGCCAAGTGTAGAATTTTCGTATTTTTCGAAGCATTTTTGCGCAGCGATTCTTCCATTGCATTCAGTAAATCGGTGACGTTATGCAATTGTTCGGTGAGTGTTTCACTTTTACTTGGCGTTCCTTTTGAATTCAACATGATTTTTTTGTAACGGATAAAATATTGTTTGAGACGATCATAATTATCGAAATTGGAACGATGCTGTTCGCGGGTGTAGCCAAGCGTTTCCGACAATGTTGCATACTCGTTTATACCGATATTGAAGAATACCGGCGTTATTTTAAACGACGAAGACTCTTTGTTCGGAAGCATCGAATAAATATTATCAGGAACTGGGAGCAATACAGTTATCGATTGACGTGACCCAGTCACGCGAGGTACTGGAAAATATTTTGTGTTTCTGAAAAAAAAAATTAAATCCAACTCATGATTGATCCTTTTTGAGTGAGCAAATATTTTACCTTTGAATGTTACTGCGTATTAGGGTGAATGTGATGGCGCTAAGATCTTCAATGGCCACACACATATCGCCCCACATATCGGTTTCACTTCCATACAATGACAATAAACCTTCAAAATATGCTAACGGTCCCAGTGTGCATAAGATTTGTATATAGTTTTCGGTAATGGCTGAACCCCAAAGTTTTGCCATTAATGCAGATACGATGGCAGTTAACTGGAAAAGACACAAAGGATCACCATGAAAAATCTACATGCAATTTGAAAAAATGCAATGACTTACCGATTGCGATAAACAAACATCTCTGCGATAGATAATATTTAGAATTGTTGATGTTTTCTTCATGTCTTGTTGTAACCTTTGAACCGAATGCATTAAGCGTGCTGTTTTCAAAAGTCCATCCATGGCCGTCCTCAGTTTTCTCATCGAAGGTCGAAGTTCCGATGCCCAATCAGTTGTCAATGACAAATCTAATCCGTCTGTGAATTTGTTGCCTTTGGCTTTCGATACTTTTCGTGTAACACCATCGACCACATGATTCAGTGCTAAGTTCAGCTCTTTATTCGTTTCTTTTGTGTTTGAGATTGCATTATTGTTAACATTCACATTTGTCGATAAATTCGTGTTTTCCGATTTCGTTTCATTGTCGTTCACATTTGGATTGGAAGCATATGGTTGATTATTAATTGTATTTTGTATATTGGTAAAACCACGTCGTGTATTTGGTTTTGGTTGTCGCAAACGCACTGCCGGACTACCACAACGTCCGCATAAAAATTTCACTTTGCTCACCAAACACATAACACTAGCTTCAATATTTAACTGCGTTAAATCAAGCGGTTCGGGCTCTTCGGTGGGTCGATAGTAATTGGCCGATGGTGATGAGCTCATTGCTTTTGTGTCCAAAAATGTACCATTTTGACCGACAGCAATCGAACAATTTCTCAACCGACCATTTTCATCGAATTCATTTGAATTTAGTAGAATTTCATTTTTACTTTCATTCAATTGATTTTCAGTCACCAACACACCACCCAAATCCATTGAATTACATCGATCGTCTGTGGCATTTGATCGGATTTCAGTGCGCACATCATTTTTGATATCACGTTTCGGACACGCTGCGGCGCTATGAATCGTTTGTGTGGGTAGTGATGACAGAACTTCACCGCTTACATCGAAATGTGTTTCGCTAAACATCAGTCCGTCGTCAATGTTTCCCGAATTCAATGGTGGCAATGAATATGATAAATTATCACATTCAGCAGATGGGACATTATCCAATTTGATGTCTTCGAATAAATCTTTTGCAGTTCGAATATTTGGCTGATCACCATTGTCTTGATAGATTTTAAAATTTTGAGTCTCTTTGACAATCCCATTGTTGTTCTCGTTTCGTGGTATTCTTGGAATATCGACGCATGGTGATGTATTTCGGCGAGTATGATGTGACCATAAATTTGGCATTGGACCGGTTGGAGATGCAAAATCTTCTAAATCAGGCGATTTCAGTTCTAATGCACCCAACTGCTGAGTGATATTTCGAAATGGCGATAATTTCATTGAATTTGTTTTGGAATCGGTCGAATCATCAATTATACGATGCTTTTCGATGAAGGCAAATGCCTCTTCCACCAGACTAGGCTCCCAAATATTTAAGAGTGAGCGAGTTTTTGTGATCATTTCATTGCACAAAGGTAGCATTCCTTTTGGATTTTTCAACTTTGCCAATGACAATAATTGCGACATGATCTCCACAATCTCTTTGCGTAATTGCTTTATTGACTGAACAGCATCGTTGGCTGTACGCACTTTTACACCAATTTGATCGACTTTTGATGGAGAATCCTTCATCAATTGTAGCAATCTGGAAAAGTAAAAATGTTATTATCACATCAATTCATTTTATTTATAGACAACACTTACTTAATTAAACCGCCCGTTTTCGTCTTGCCCGAATGTTTCGTGAATGCGCCGACCGTAATTACATCCAAGAAACCATCACGTTTCAATGTGTCATTATATGCCCACATTCGTTGTAAATGTAAATTAACCGGTGCAAACTCAAGTGATTCGTCATTTTTACACGAAGATTGCTTGAAGAATTTGTTCATTGCACATTGCTGTAGGTTCTGTTTGGCTTGCGAGTATTCCTTGAGTAATTTCAAATGTTTATCTAATAATTCCATTTGTACATTTCGCCATTCGCCGCCCAATTCGCCCATTCCAGATATTTCTTGTAACAGTTCTTTTTCGCGTAGTATCCAAATCGATCTGAAACATGAATTAATATGCAAATGAAGAAGGCGTGTGAAACATGTTAATCAAAATACTATTATTTACAGCAATTGTTGTGGTATGGTGAAACATAGACGACTCTCCATCATTACTTCAAAAACACTTATGTCACCTCCCAAGCCTGAGTGCAAGCGATATGTTCGAACCTACAGCGAGTTAGTAAAAAAAAGGCATAAAAAAGAATTTAAAAAGAACTCTTTGAAAAGTGTTTAAAAAAACAGTTCACTCACCGTTGGATTTACGAACACCGAACTAAGTTTATATGGCGGTGGAATATTAAGTTTAATGCCAAGTTTAGGTGGCAACGATTGACTACGTCGATGGCCGTACCGTTGTGGTGGTTCAATTTGTCGGGCCGGTGACCGTGGATACTTTCGCTCTTGTTCCGGTAAATACGTTGTCAATGTGATAAAGCCTGCATTTCCCGAATTCGATTGCAATGGTATCCGAAGCCGTGCTGTTTCTTGAATTGTTCCTAATGTTATTTCGGCCGAACCGAGTGGCACAGCCGTTTGTGACACCTTTTCACGAACATCATAAACCGTAAAGCGTACTAAAGAATTTTTATGTAGGCCATCACCTGAACGAAATACAGCTGTACACCTGTATTGTGGATTCGAGCATCTCTGTTGTGAATATTTTTAGAAAAAAACAAAACGATGAGTAAAATAATGTGACCCACAAATGTTTTTCAATGTCAAGTTCAACAGTAAACTTTTTTAAAAATAGAGCCACCAATTAAATTCGGAAGCGAAATCAATTTGCATCTAATTAATTCATTCAAAAACATTACCTCAATCACTTCAGTGCGACCGTATCGAATCCATGATAAGCGATTTTGTTCAGATATTTGTACTATAACCGTTGGATTCGGTGGCCGTCCATGGCCATCACACAGTAAATTATCGCATGAAATAACGGCTTCGCATATCGGAACTTCAGAAATATCTGTACAATTTGCATAATTGTAAAATACAGAGAAAATATCAATTAAATTCTCGCTCAATAAAAACAATCCAATCAGAAACACCACTAAAAAAACCAACAACAAACCACAATCAAATCCCATTTGGTTAAAACAAAAAAATAAATAAATTAAAACTCATGTCATTTTCGATATGAAAATTTCCATCCATAAAACATTGAGATTTAAATTTATTCGTACCATATATATATAAAAAGAAATTAAATGCTATAAAATCGGTTACAAAATGAAGCGTTTCTCGGCGTTAAACAAAATAAATCGAATAACAAAAGAATTTTAAATTTTTTGGGTTAGTACAATTCGTGTGTGTGTTCTTGAAGTAAATAAAATACCCGAATGTGTGCAATTTAAAATTGAATAAGATCATCACAATCACCTATCTCTTTGCCGATTTGCAAACGCATCATATCAACGTCGATATCTTGTTTTGTGTCACGTCGATTTTCAATTTGTTCACGAAGAGATTGCAATTTTTTGCGCATCTCTTCGTACGATGCTTGACGTATGGCTTGTATCCACTCTGCACGCTCCGATTCGGTGTTTGTCGAAAGTCGTTGCTTGAGATTGTCCTGAAATTCTGTACAATCAAACGCAATGAGATGCAAAAAAAGAGAAGAAACACAACGAAAAATAAATCAAATTAAAGCGAATCAATCAATCAATGGAAAAATTGAATTGCAAATACGCTGTGAATCGTTGCTTACCGATAAAAAACACAAATCCATCGTGCTCTCGTTTTTCATTACGTATAACTGGTTCGCATTTTTCCAAAACTATTACACCTTGCGGCTCGCTAAATTGATCGCTTGATTTAAAGTAAAATAATAAATTTCCACGAAGTCGACACCATCGCTCCAAACTCACTGCGAAAAATGAACAAAAATGGAAACAAGAAAGAAAAAAACATACACATAAACATCAAATTTAAATTCATATTATGCGAAAAAGATGTATCTCATATGGGTGTTTGGAATGAACTGATACAAATACATTTCAAACATGAATAAAAGCAAATTGTGCAAAAATGCGCGCGCTCAACGAGCCAAAAGCCATGGGTATTTTTTTTGTTGTAAGCATAAACAGACATGGAGCATGTAAACAAAGATAGCGCGCGCAAACACTGAACGAAAGAGATGTGCGTGATAACATTAGTTATGTGCATAAAAAGTGAATTTCTGAACAGTTAATAAATTACGGTTTCAAAGAAACCCGACCAAATTATACACTGTGTGCTTACTATTCTAGTTATTATTATGATGAGAAGAATGTGCGAAGAAAAAAAAGATTACATTTATTCCAAGTGAAAATTGAATTAAATGTTTATTTGTTAAAGTAAACAATTGTTGTTAGAGATGATTGAGAGAGACTTCGAAAGCCATCTATAACAGTAATACACTGTCCAATCCAATGTTGTTAGTATTTTACACAAAAAAAATATTAGCAAAACAAGTTATTTGTTATTTTCGCCTATTTTTAGAGTATTAATCGAACCCAACACTTGGACTTGTTATCAGTTCGACAGTTTGTTTGGTACATTTAATGGCATATACGTTGTTAATAATATCTAGTATAATAAAGCGGTTTTATTGAGTAGTAATTGAGTTAGTACGGGAAAAAGCAATAAATGCGTTTTAGGTGAGCGCTTCAATTACGACAAAACTATTTTCACAACTCGTGTATGTGTAGTGTGGTGTGTAAATGGTTTTATGTGTCTGTGAGTGTGTGTGTGTGTGTATGTGTGTTTGTGTGAAATAGAGTTTTGCAAATTGTTTTCTTTATTTTTTTAGTCCAAACCTTTGTTCGTTCCACCCATACAGCCAATGTTGCGTCTTGGTTTCATTTTGAAAAACGACGACGATGAACTTGAAGCACATCCCGTCTCCGCGAAATCAACTTCTACAAAATTTGCACAAACCATCATTATTCTGACGCGTCGACTTAAATTGTAACATAAACTTATCACAAATAACACATTTTATCGTTTCATTTTACACCGAAATTCCATTTGAAAACTTTTTCATTCATTTTTCTTTCATTTTCAATTTCGAATTCACCGAGCATTAGAACATCAAACAATGTTAATAATAGTCTTGTGTATTTTGTTACATAACGTGAATATAAAACAAAAGTAAATGTGAAATTAGTCTAATACACGAATGATAGTAGATTAGAAATTGCGTTGAATTGCAATGTTGTTCAATCGTAACGATTTTCGAATTCTTGTCATGATGTTCGCAGAAAATGTTAACCATGCAATCACTTTTTGTTTATGTAATACAGCAATCGCATGGGTTAATTAGAAAATCATGAATACACCCTCAATGAGAAGAAAACCGAAACCGAATTCATTGTGTTTCTCGTGATTCGAGGTATTTAATGATGTATGATGAAATTATTACTTGCTCAATGATACGAAATAAAGGGAATTAGAGACGAAAATAAAAAAAATTAAGGCGTATGCAAAAAGGCATGCAAATTCATAAAAATGGATAATAAAAAGACATAGCGAAAGAGCATAAAGACACCATTATGAGAGCTAATGCTGGCACCTGAGTTGAACAAAGCGTGATAAAAGACAAGAGAGAGGGTGGAAAAAGAATACATCAAAACATACAAAGGACATTTCATTTTGTTTGCTTTGGGTATATCGCGCAGTATCATTTCTTATGCGGGAGGAAATTGCAGTTGACCATCAACACGACAATTAGGTTAATTACACTTTTTTTTATATTTTCGCCATTCGTTTCGTTAATTATCAATTTTAATGTAAATATTACAGAGAAAATAGAATAAAATTTACCTTCAGAACGACGAAAGAATCCATCTTGACGTTCGGTTACGAATATAATTCCCTCTTTTTCAAACTTATTGCTTGGCTGAGTTGCTAATGTAGCTAATTCCTGTTTATTGAATCGCATTTCATTTGACTTGATTGCGTTTTTTTTTAAATTTGCGTTTTGAGTCACACCAGCCGCGGAAACAACAGAGAGGAAGAAACAATTGAAAAAAAAAGAAGATAAAAACAGAACCATCTATTATTCAACACGCACAATAAACTAATTGCTATTCAAGACAAAAGCAAGCAAGCGAATGAGATGGCTTAAAGCGTTAAATAAAAGAAAAAACTATTCTCTTCAATTTTTGTGTTCTTCTCGTGATTCAACCTTTCTCTGACACATTGATTTGCGTGGTTGATTTCAAAAACACTAATAGCACCGCTCCGAGAGTACATATGCATACATTTCAATTGTACCATAATTCTATTTATTCTTCATGAATTGAGCCACTTACAAAATAGGCACAAATAATCTATAATTTACCGTTAGTCAAACATACATTTTCAATGTACTCTCGGCGCATTTTCTTTTCCCATTTCAAAAAATATGTGCAAGAATGACAAATAATGCTTGAAAATCACTTGCTTCTTTTTTATCTATGAACTTTCGAATTTTTATTGCGTTCAATATATAAGGTGAAGAAGAAAAAAACACTTACGCGATGCTGCAATCACACACGCAGAATACAAAAATCAAAAGAAAACAAACGTAAATAGTAGAGACAGAGAAAAAAAAATAAAACTTAAAACACACACTGAATCGCTCTGTGTGTATTGTTGCAACAACTAAAACGAATTAGGCTAGTTGAAAATCAGCTCTTGCTTTTGCTTAATTTTTTGTCATTTGATGTGACTTATTGCTTTGGTTAGCATTTTTCCCATCGATAAATTTGTCTGCGTTTTTTTTCGGTTTTGTTTTCACTTAAGCGTACTAATCGATGGCCACGCGAATGATTTCAAAAGCCTTTTTCACTCTCTTTTTACCACTTGATTTCGTATTGGCTTGCATTCACTGCACAAGTAGAGTGTGTGGTTCTACCGTACTCATCAGCTAACCATTTTACACTGAAACTTCATCTTTTTCCCATTTTGACAGTTAGTTCAGCTGCTCTTTGCATCCACTACTATTTACACGCGTACACAAAAAAAACCTTTGGATTTTCTACTACACATGTTTCTTTACATACTGTGTACAACGGAATGTGAGTTTACGCGCAGATTCACTTGTAGTAGTGAATGTGGTGTTTGAAACGTCAACTCAATGGCTCGTTCACACTGCATATGTGTTTCAACGGATTTTGGGACAAAATGGTGTTAAGTATCAAGAAATACGTATTGATAGATTTTTAAAGAGTGTAAGAGTGACAATTTTTTTGAAAACATTAAATACATTGGATACTCAATAAATGGATTACATTTGAAATCGTTTGAATCGTTTGTGACAAAGTCAATGGGAGTTAAAAATATGATTTTTTTTCAATTAATTTTAAATTAAAAGACAACACGCATAGTTTTCTGATTTTTATTGATTTTTCAAGTGATTTATTACTAACTAATATACAAATTACATCATTTTTTTCGAATTTAACAAAATTATTGAGAAAATATTTGATTCGTTTATTGTTTTCGTGTAATTACCAAAGATTTATGATCGTCAGAGAACAAAAGTTTGAATTGTCCATGATTACCGTAAATATCCCAAAACTCAAACCATGTAAAATATGCATAGCCACCCAAACTCATCATTTCAGGCAATGTCCATGCAGCACTGGTCTCAAAAAATAAATGACTGAAACAAAGATGATTGTTCATTTCGTTGTAGATAACAGTTTGTGTCAGATTAAATGTCGCTGTATGTTTATCAATCGGATTCAATCCTTCATCCAGTCCCTCCCAACTTTTTGATTTAACAAAACCAAAGGTCTCGGTCCGTTTGGACGTATTGAATGGATGTACGACAACAATATGTTGATTATTATTCTCACTGGCATGACCAAAAAACCATCGATCATTTACTTCGTCGCTGTATTCATGGATTTTTGCATTTTTTATGCCATTTTCGACAGTCACGTAGATGTTATCATAATGACAATTGTAATTTTTACTGTAGTTTAATGTTTTACATCCTGTGATTGGATTCCAATCAACTGACACATAATTAACACTCTTTTCGGTTCGACCTTTTTTCATTGCATTTCGAAATATCAAATCGGTGTCCTTATATATGATTTTTTCCAACGACGTTATGGCCAGTGAATGTGTTGATTTAAATGTTGATCCATTTCCTTGTCCACCTTTGGTGTTGATTGTATCAGTTCCATTTCTTGATGTATCAAACTTTCCGGTACGAGGAATATCAATTCCAACAGCAATAATCTTGTTTCTACAAGCTTCCGCGCACCAAAGATACTTTGAAATATATACAGTATCACTTCTGTCTTCGTTGGCATTCTTTTCAGTATCGATAAATAATTCGGTTGATGTTCGTGGACGGTTGAATGCAGTCACCGGCCGTGTATAGTCATTAGCTTCATTTGTAATGTACCATGGGGAACTGAGAACGGCTCCAGTTTCATAGTCACAAAGGTAAACCAAATCTTTCAAATCAGCAACAGAAAGTGGCATGATTTTGTTGTCTTGGCCGAGGATTTTGACGGAAATTTCAATCTCGATTTGATTTCGTTGATTTCCATAAATTTGAGCCGATTCGTTTGGCAAATTTTTGTAACGAAGATTTAGCGACAATAATTCTTTGAAGCTATCCCATTTGCTCGACATTTTTAGAGATTGGTTTTCGATTCCAGAAATAGAATTATAGTTTAACAAAGCAATATTGAACTTTATATATGTCGACAAACTCTGTTTGAAAATCTCTCACTTTGTACCACAAAAAAAATATTTGTTAAATTTTAACGCCCAAATGATCAGTTGCGTCAAACTAACTTTTTTCAACTGTAAAATGTAGTGCAAAAGACTCTTTATATATAAACTGCTATTCTTACCATTTTCCTATCAATTTTTTTCTAGATACAGTGTGTACGTGACATGAGTTAAGATGAAAATATGTGTTGAACATTGAACTTTGAAATTTGGTAATTTGTTGTATGTTTAGACATATTGGAGTTGACAATACAACAGTTGTACTAGGAGATAGCAGAATTTTCTGCCTATCTTTTGGTCGATACTTTGGACGGATTTAATTTTATCTAAAGACTTGGATGTTGTACTCGACAAATATAGAATCCATTCGCGTCAATCATAAATTTTCGAACAACATTGAATAAAGTTGAAACGAAATGATACGTGAACAAAGTCATCAAACGAAAATGAAAAATAAAATTCAAGGTCCATATTGTTGCAAAAGATAACCGAAACATACCACCAAAAACAAAAATAAAACCAATTTGTGTACGATATTCTATAATTTTTATTTTAAATTTTAACATTTTGTGCTTATACTTAGAACCATTATTTACAATGTTTGTTCTTCTTTTTAAAAAATGGGAGATTTCTTATAATAAATCGATAGTAAAATTATTCATAAATCTAAGACACTTGTTCATAAAACATTTTTCAATACTATATGTTACAGTATATGCTTCGATCCGTCGATACAAAACATTTTTGTTCTAATAGAAGAAATAACCATTTTTTTAAAAAACTATAAAGTAACTCTATGTCATTCTTTAGAACCAGTTATAATGTTCTGTTTCATCCAAATAACTGCATTTTCAGCAATAGTAATTGGGATTCATCTTTCGTGCACCTGTGTGCTTCGATTTCGGGTGAAAGAAGTAAAACAACTTCATAAAAAAGAGAGAGTGTGTATGTGTGTGGTTTGTTGAAACAATGTCACTTATCTATCGCTTGGAATATCTAGATTGTTTGTCTGTCGTTTAAAATATAAGTTTGTTGTGGCCCAAATGGCACAAATTGCTTTAACTACGAAACTCTTTCTCTTTCCAAACAATTAATATTCAATGAAATGATGGATTTCTGTTGTGTGTTAAAACTTAGTGATTAGTTGATGATAATAAGTTAAAAACATTAAAATTGGTTATTAAAACATTCAACCGGTTTTTTGTTTATGTCTGGTTTCTTCGAATGCAAAATAAAATTGAATTGAAATGTGATTGTTTTGCTTCAGTCCTGTTAAGTCAATGTCACCTTTCAAATTCTATCAAACAAACGAGACAAAATCCGGTCGATTATTGTAAAATGTTAAAATTTGTGCATCGGCTTGTGCATGGCACGATGCTTCATTTAAAATACTGATACAATGCAATTGGAAACGGTACTTTTTCACTGAAAAAAAAAGTATTTTAAAATTGCCAAATGAAAAAACTGCCTGCATTGAAAATAAATTGCCATTTGTAAAATCAATATTTTTTGTTTGCTATTACAGTGTATTATTATCATATCATAATATTTGGTCTTCCTTATTTAAACGTAGTTGGATCGTCGCCAAAAGTTTAATCGAATAAAATATTATTGTCTCTTAATTTTTTTCTTAATGTTGAATAAATCATTTTGTCACTGTCATTTGCGCATCGAGTACGAATTGTTCTTGATTTGTATTGGATTTTTTTTTGTGTCAAAATTCATTCATCTAATTTGATTGTTAAAACCATGGTACGTGTTGGTCGACTTCGTCAATAGTGTCCATTTCGGTGATCGCGTCTAGCGTTCGATGCAACTAAATGTGAGTCACGAGCAGCGGCTGGCTTGTGATGGTGATGGTGGTGTCGTTTCTTTTCACCTAAAAAAAATTGCGACTTTAGAATATCTCCAATTTGTGATTCACCTCGTAAGGTAGATCATTGAATTTAAAATTAAGATGAAAAACATGAAGACTCTTCATTGAAGAGGCGAAATTCTTACCTTTAACGCAAACATCGGTGACAATCATTTCGGAGCCATCTCTTAATCCTAAATTATCTCTATTGTATTCACGAGCGCGACTGAAAATGAAAATGAATTCGTTTGAGTATTCAGATTTCCAATTGGATGTTCATCATTTGTCCCTTACCTATCTAAATTATCCCTAGAACGACTTAAATTATCACGTGATCGGCTTAGATTTGGTTGGTCAAGTGTCTCTTTTCTACGTAATGCGGCATGATTGTTTGAATTTTTCGATGCGGATTCATGTAAATTTTCCCAGGCTTGGCGATAATAACGATTTAGACCGTTTCTTGATTCGGAACTGGAGCTATCGAATGATGCAACCGTATTGCAATCAGGTGACGCTCGATGACGGTAGTGTTGTGTGGTACGGTTTCTATGGATGAAAAATTGTTCTAATAAATAATCGGATCGATTTAGTTTTGCGTCACACAGGCATACAATCAAAAAGCAAAGCATGTGCCAATATCAAACCAGAACCGCATGAATTTTGAAGACTCAAGTTTTCCATCAAATCTTATTATTTTTGTCTTCAAAATTTAAAGCAGTTCCTTAAGTGCGCTCAAATTATTAGCAATAAACGACTTAATTTGGAAAAAAGTATTTTTTTTTTTGTAATCAAATCAAGCAATCCTTCAAGTAACATTTTACTGTTGGTTTGTAAGAAATGTCAGTGCCGACAGTTCTATCATCTGGTTGCACCCCTAAGCCATAATTAGGGCATCAAACCAGATGATCGAAATGTCAGCACCGCAAGATTATTCCAACATATTCAATTCTAACTAGTACAAATATCCCTGAAATTAATGTGCAGTAAAATCAAAACAACAAAGTGCGAGTGATGGTTCAATGGAAACTTGGATTTAAAAAAAAAACGACTCATTGCTAATCTCACGCAAAATGTGATAGTGAACGGATGTGCGTTCCATTAAGAAGTTAAGGTGTTTCCGTGCGTTCTATTTCTGGTGTGTATTTATGTGTGTATGTGTGTCAATGTGCGTGCGAGAGTGTTTTTGGAATTGAACCGCTTACTGCGCTTACATTTGTGAATCATGACTAGTACGAGTAGTTGTGTTTAGTAACAAATGGCACGCGTTCGATTCATTGTTTAGCTCGAATCATAATGGATTACTAAAGAATCCGGCCCGCGACGAATAGGCTCCACGGCCAAATGTATTTATATCACGACGGCCCAGTTTTTGATCGGGAAACGGAAGGGCTAATACGGTGTACCAACGCGAGGGCATGTTTGGGTTAGTTTTATTACTGTTATTATTGGTTGTTGCATTTACTAAACGACGATCACCACTAAATTGTTTCGAATGATTGTTTGCTGATGTGGCACTTGATGTTTTTCGATGATGACAAGAACTAGTATTACAGTTATTGTGTTGGTGGTTCAATGGATTGGAGCTAATTTGATTTTAATTTTGGTTTCAAATTGTGTTATTTTTGTTTTTTTTGAGGGGACACGATTTCGGTTAGCACAGAAAATTGTAATATAAAAAAAGAAAACAAAAATTAATTGGCAAATAGAATAACAAGCGAAAAAATGGTATTATTTTTTTTTGAATGAGAGTTAATTAGAGAGGGGTGTCAGTGCGAATTGAGTGATTTTGTTTTCGTGATTTATAGAAGAGTCGATTTTTGGTGTGAGTGTTTATAGGATTGGCCAATCGATTGTTTTTTCTCTTTTGTTTCACATAAATAAAATAGAAAAAGTAGTAGTTTTCGTGCAAGGAATCAATTTTTTTTGGAACAACTAAAATTGGAAAGTGTGGTGTGTTATTGAAGTAACGACTAATCGTGGACGTGTTAAAAGATACCCCCGCTGCTGGTATACTTTTCAAGCTCATTTCTATTCATGTTTAATGAATTTTACGACGAACACAACTTATTAAGAAATGGTGATTATGATAATTATTAAAGTAAGAAATATAGTGTTTTTATTCCGGTGCGAAAATTGCATTGCTTTCGAGAAAACCAAGAGTTCAATGATGTTGCCGTTGATGTTGTCATGAGTAATATTATTAATTGTATCGTTAGGCCATCAATTACTTTATGGTTTATTTTTCCCCCGCTAGTTTCGTTGCATTTAACAAAAGTGGTTGGGAAAATTAAATCAAAATCCAGCCGATAGTCCAACGATACGATTAACAATATTAACGATTATTTGAATGAATTTGTAGTAAAATGAATTTCAACCCAAAGCCGATAAATGAATGAATCAGATTGAAAAAGTGATAGTTAAAGAAGAAAGTTGTTCCAATTCTGCCGTCTTATTGGCTTGCTTCCCTTTTTATTTTGAAAATAAATAGAAGTGATTCGTGAGACAAAATGTACTCTTACCTTCGGATCAAAATGACTATGGTGGTGATAATTGCAGCCAAAAATACGAAACCACCGAAAGCACCAAGCGCAATAATTGCCCCTAGATTCAATTTTGCACCATGCGTTTCTCGATGTTGATCATTCTCAACCAAATATGGAATATTCACATTCGGTGATTGATCCGATCTGAAAAATTACACAAAAAGTTAGTTTTACATCAAGTTTTTCGAAAAATGTTCAATTTAAATTACCTAATGTTAACGCTGCCAGCAATTTCATTGTCCTGTGGATGTGCTGCCTGAATGATATTGTGTGCATTATTTGTGGTTGTTGTTGTTCGACCGGTTGTTGTTGGAATTGGATTTGTATTAAGTGATGGCGGAGCTGTCTTGGGTCGATGTGTTGCCGCTGGAATTGCATGACCATTTTTGGTTGGTGTCAAAGCTGGAACGATCGGTTTGCGTGGTATGATATTATCATTCATTGTCGGCACAATTTCTTCTTCAGATACGTCTGTAAATGGTTGTGAAAAATCCGTTATTTATTTGTTCATAACTGAATCAATTTCTTTGTCTAATAACAAATGCCATTGCAAAATCGAAACTAACCTTCTTCATATTCAGTTGTTGTGATCGGTGTTGTTGTATAACGTGATGATGTGCGCGTTGGTTTTCGTGGAGTCGTGCCAATTGTAGTTTGTTGCGGCGGTACAGAGACTCTCGCATCTAAATCAATAGCACGAAAAACGATTAATCAAAGCATTGATTGAAATCAATCATCATGAGAAATGACAATTTGAAAATTGAATTTTATTTTTCGAAATCAAAATGTTTTGTAAGTTTAGCGCATGTAATCAACGCTCTTTGCCAATTTTGATGAATTAGCAATTAATTGAAAAAAAAATGTGCGTCTCAAATGAATTAACTTATTTATATTTACCTCGAATGCATGGCAAAAGCGGTGCACTCCATTGTCCGGTTGATAAACAAGCAATGAATCGTGGTCCGTCCGGTTTGAAGCCATTTGAACAAACAATCTCAGCTTTGGCACCATATTCAGTTGTTCCATTGATCGAAACAATTCGTGCATTTTCGTAGATTTCTGGTAGCTCTTCACATTCAATTGGTTCGCATCGTGGTGGTGGTCCGTTCCATCTTTCATCAATGTCACAAGTTAACATTGCTCTTCCATTCATTTCGTAACCTTCGTTACATCGGTAAATCACTGTGCTCAAATAGCCAACGGAACCATTGACCAAATCGTATGATCCATGCAAAATTGATGCTGGTAATCCACACTCAATATCTGAATATTGAAACATTGTTAGTGTCAAATCAATTGTGTGTCTTGATTTAATTGAATAAAAAACTTACATTTGCAAACTGGTGGGAATTCATTGTAAAAACCGGTATCCATGCAAGATCTTTTCGCTGGACCAACCAAAAGATGTTCATCATCGCAATTATATTCAATGGTAGCGCCAACATCAAAACCAGTTGTAGCGACCATTGTTGAATTTGGCGGTTGCTCTGGTCGACCGCATGCTTTCGGCTCTAAAAATCGACATTAATCCGATAAATAAAATAATTTCATGTTGAAAAATTGATGAATCCACAAAAAACACTTACGATGTTGACAAATGAAATTGAGTGGTGTGTTACAGTTGGTGTCACTCCAGAGCCATCCTTTCGAACCATCGAATCGTGCGCAATTCTCATCGCCACCAGGTAAATTCCAAAATGACACAGTAACTTCTTCGCCGCCAACCCATTTCCATGCGTTTCGATCTTTGTCGTCGCGCACAGCTCCCATCCAATATTGTGACGATACATCACTACGATGTCGGCGCCACAATTCCCAACTGATGAAACCTTGCAATGCTGGATTACTGTCATTGATCAAAGTACCACCGCGTGAACGACAGAATTGTAATGCTTCGCGGAAATTCAACGGTTGTCGATTATAGAATGTGTAACATTTTCCATTGTATGAAGCTACGGCACCTGGCGGGGCATCACGAAAAACGGGACATCTTTCGATCGGCAACGCTTGATCGGTGTAAACAAATGCTTCGCAAATGGACAACGGACTTGGTGTATTCACTTCCAAATGAACGGAAACAAAGGCGCCAGGCATTGGTGGGTTGCATGGCAAGAAAAGTGGTTGACCCTCTTCCAATACGCCATTGAAACGATTGCAAATCGGATTCGTACCTAAATCTGGTCGATTATTTCCCACACGTACGACTATAGTTGCTGATTTGTTGTCACCTATTGGAGAAAATGGCAAAAACAAAAAGAAAAATTACATTTCAGAAAAAAATGCCTATTTAAAAGTTGATTTTCGCACGCTAAACATCGTCCGAATGAAAGATGAAATGTGTTTAATTAACAGCTTTTAGGCGTGTTATAGTATGATTGAGAAATACTCAGTACGTGTAAATGAGTCGATTACATGATGACGATGATGATGAGTGCAAAATACTTTTGCAGAAAAAGAGAAGCGCGATTGAAGAAAAGCAGTGTTCGTTTGCCCATATTCGTTTCACTTAAGCGCACGAAGTTTGAAAGAAAAACCTGCAATTCATATGTTAATGTTTTGATGATTTAATCACTCGGCGGTTGTGTACTGTTGCAACAAGTGCTTCTTTCATTCGGTTCGCACCTCATATTTTAGTAGATGTGCAGAGAAAAAAAAGCAGACCATTCAAGCAACAGAGCAACCAACTTCCATTTTGTGTGTTTTCAAAAGAGAGAAAAAAATATTGTTTCTGTTGATTTTCAACAGTTTAGAGTTTTGTTTCCCCATTTACGTAAGCGAACAATTACAGACTGATCGCGGCATGGTTTTGCAGAAGACCATGCGCGCACGAGTAATTGAGAACAAAAGGAAAACTAATTGCAAGAGTGAATGAGTGAAAAAAAAGAAACACACAGAGAAATGATGGGCATTGAGTCTGTATCATATAGACACACGATAGATGTGCCATCGTCGCGATCTCCTTTGAACCGTTACCGATGTGAAATCGGCCGACGGAATCTCGCCGTATTACTTTTCGGTCATTTTACGACTGCAGATGTGTGTATGCCACTGTGTGAATGGGGCCCCGTCCATAAAATTGCTCTCATTTATTTACGATCTACTATTTTACGAATGATTAAATATTTTCATTACACCGGATCAACATCTCGCTGTTCAAATTCGGTCGGTTGCAAAATTGCACCAGTTTTCAGTTTTTTTTTTCTCTCGTCTCATTTCATTCACTCCGGCTAATTTATATTTGCTGCTTTTTTCTGCTCACAATTCGTTTCCATATTGCACTCGAAACGATGTTGATAAATAATGTGAGTTTTTCTCGCTCTATCTCTTTTGTTCACCAGCGCCAAATCGAAAAATGTGTCGAAATATAATTGGCTTTCAAGTTTACACATTATTTGCTTTATTAGAAACGAATGGTGTGTGAATTATTACGAATGGTATTTTTGGTCCAATGTATTCGAGTATACGGTGTAATGTGCACTCCAATCGTCAAAAAAATCGACGGAAAAAATCACAGCATGAGATAACATGTTCATTATGAACAGTATCAAATTGGAGCCAAACCTTTTTGTTTGTGGCACACTACTGGGTTCCGAATGCGCAAAGAAAAACCCGCTATGCCAAAAGATCAAGTGCTTTTAACAATGTTTGTATACAATCAATTCCGTGGGTATTGAACCAACGTCATGTGTTCGCGATAATAACAATTATAAAAAATACAACAACAAAATATCCGTTAACTCAATCGACCGGCGATTTTGTCTTCGTTAAGTATAAAAAAACATTTTTCATTTTCATATATAAATGAATTACTTTGCATACTCATTCAGGTTTAATAATGAATATTTACGCAATACACGCCAAATTGAACGTTACACGATGAATTTTTGGAATGTAAATATCGCCGATTTTCACACAAAACGCTTCTGTTGTTTCATACTTAGTTTAGATAAAATTAAATCTGATCTGATTACAAGTGCACAAAACTGCTTAAATTACTCACTTTTAATCGTAATCAATTTCTATAATCAACCGTTCATTTAAATCACACGGATTTTGGAGTTTATTTTGCGGTACATGCCATATTTGGATGGCAGGTTAATTTGAAAATTTGTAAACACAAAACGGAAAGTTGGTAAACAAATCGTTTTTGGAGTGTTTGAGCTCGTTCCCACCTAGTTTTCGCATTTGGTTTTTGAATAATTGCCGGTTTGTTTGTGCAAAGTTTTATTGATTCTCTTCTAACATTAAACAAGTTTGTTGATATTTATTTGTCAGTTCATTTTGTATATGAGTTTTTAATTTGACAAGAGAAATGAAGAATTATTTGCGAAAATGAGCTCTGCTGAGTATTTTGGTTTTATTAAGCATTAAGTTCGTCTCGGGTCGCGAGATGAATGAGCAAAAACATCTTTATTTTTTGATGGAATACCGGAACCTTTGACACGGAGTAATCTTTAAATTATGAGGACAGTGCTTTAAATTATGGGGATAATTTGCAACGTCAAAACAGTCCGTAAACAATTTTTTCCACGGCGGCCAGTGTTTGATCGATTGTTGTTGCAAAAAAACATTCACACAAATCGTACACGACCATTTTCATTGAAGTTTGTCCAAACAAAATGGGTACATTTCATCAAAAATAATTGATGATTACATTCAATGCAAAAGATTTCCTTGTTGTGAAATTTATTTCATTTAAAAAGAAATTTATAAAAGCAAAAAACCCGGTTAAACTTATGAGTAATTTGAAAATAATAGTCATGAAATTTGTTTCATTTGAATGGAAATATTGTTATTTCCCACAATTTAAATAGAAAAGATCACATTCCTCGTGTGTATTCCACATGTGAGTTATTTATCGTCTCCACATGTCAAAATTTTCCGACGGACGGCGGGTATGTGCTGTATCGGAACTGAGCACAAAATGTTCGAATGGAAATTTCTTTAGGGTAAAAAAAATGGTGAATTGAATAAATTCTTTCGTGTATTTTTAAAGATGACATGCAATTGGTATTGCATACGAATTGTATGTGTGGCATTGTCGGCTATATTTACTTTCACTTTTATTTCTTTTGCAAAGAAAATAAAATAAAAATAAAGAAGAAGAGGAGGCAAAAAAATAGTATAGTAAAAGTGCATGCCATCCGCCGTGTCGATTCGCATAATAAAACTCGGCTCACAATTTATGGCCGTTCAAAGCGCAATTTTCAGAGTAATGAGAAAAAACAAACGGAACAGCACGACGCGCAAATCGAGTAGCTTTTTTAAATGCCATCAATATTCTGGCATAATATTCGGCTGACATGCAATTTGAACACTCAAAGCCAAACTCGGGGGGGAAAAAACGGAACGATACACGAAAAAAACAATGAGAAAACGTGGCAAAAAAGGTAAACAAATGTTATCACATACATATTTTCCGTTTTGACACTTTAATTTATGTCATCGTTGTTTTGTTTGCCGATCGAACGGCATGATTTTCGTGCAATTCAATCATTCCGTCTAAGTGCTGCTACTCGTATTTTCTGGCAGGTTATAAGCGTGAATTTTTTTTAGCTTCCGCAAATTTGATTGTTTTGTAATCTTCGGGTCTGACAATCGTTTCATTTTTTTTTTCATTTAGTCGCAATTAGTTTAAATTGAGTTTTCATAAGGAAACGTCATAATATGAAATATTATCGACGATGAGGTCACTTGAAATTTGCAATTACAAATTCGATGAAAATAATGGCAATTAGCAAATTTACGAGTTAACATTTTTTTCGGCCGTTTTTCGTTGAAAGATGTAGCGCATTCACTTTGTTCAGACCAATGACCAACGCCAATGGGAAAAAAGTCATACTGTTCAAATGATGAAACGTTGTCGAAAATGGGAAAAAAAGGAGCAAACTGAACAAAGTATAACGAGACAATGAGAAACTGATATTCATTCGTGAGTTTTCATCGCTTTTTTATAATCAATTAGATAATTAATAGCTTCTGAAGTGTAAATTATGTAAGCAAGCATCCATTTAAAGTATTTTGTCATCATTGAGTGGATGTTGCGCTAATTGTTGACATGAATTTAAAGCATTCGGCATTTATGCTTTTTTTTCCTGTTCGTTCTCTGGTAAGTTTGAATTACGATTGGCGTAGATTTTTATGCAATGTTGTCTCCTATTTCGTTTTTTGTGCGATTGGTTTGGCGAAAAGTGTAACGAATCTCATTCCATTAAGATCTAAATAGAAAAAACTGCATTTAGCGCGTTTTTTTCTTTCTATTTTTCTCATTGACGATTTCGAAACTGTCACAAATCACACGATTTGCATGTTTTGACTAATCACTCAAATGACGGCGGTTCACTTCAATTTTGTTATAACATTCCATTCCTCGCCAATTACGATTGGGCTTTTTTCTGCTCTCATCGAAACACAGCAGCTACGGCTGGCAGCCGCAACTCAATTGGATCGGAGAAAATAGTACAAGAAAATTATGGACTACCGCATATATAAACCTTTTCTCCGACGATTTGCGGTGCGTCGTTATTCAATAATTGACTATAATTTAATTAAATATATGCATTTGCAAATGGGAGCGCGCGCGAGATAGATGTTTATAAGGCGATTCATTATATTTTTGGTCGTACAAATTGAAAGTTAAATCGTCTCAATTTCTATCAAATCAAGCAATCATTTTTACCGACTTTTAAATTTGCTAAACACATGTTCGGGGTCCCCTTTATAGGATTGTCTCTTGCGCGTGGGTAAGGACGGAATGCATCCGACGGTCGAGCACATATATTTATTTCCTCGAAATGCATGTTCATTTGAATTGGTTTCAAATTGTGTATCATTTTGCAAAATGTTAATGATGGTCTCTCGTGACGAAGTATATAGTATTTGCTTTCACTACTATGCTCTGGCACGGTGAACAACTTTCACTTATCGCACCCGAGTATATGTACATATCAGTCTAAACAAAAAAAATATTACATTTCTAATGAGCTAATCTGATGAAACAAAATCTATACCATGTATACAAATCTTCTCGTTTTGTTTGCTATTATTCACTAGTTTGTGGTACAAATGAGATGGAGCGAATATGAATATATGATTAGAATCATGTTATGGTCAATGTCTATGCCCACACATATACGCGATATGTATCGATTCGTCAAAATGGAAAATAAATGTTAATCAATCAATCGGAAGACCGTGATTCCAAGAAATTCTACAGTGAATGTTTTGTCTGCATTTTCTGATGCAATGCCTACGGGGTATGTTCAATGCATGCGCATGCACATTGTATATAAAAATGTGATAGAATCAACATTGGCATACAGTTTGAAATAAATTTGAATTTAAATAGGCGCCAGCGTCCGAAACCACGACAAAATATTGCGGACAAGAAAATTCAACGTGTGTAATTGTAATCTGTTTAGTCGCGACCATTGTCATAAATAAATAAAATACTATGTTGAAATATGTGCGTATAATTTTTTTTTCTCTTTTGCTGTTTACAACGACGCAGAAATTCCATTCAATTTTCACTATAAACAATTTCTTCAATTTGCGATTCGAAATGCTTTCGCTTAATAATTTGAATTACTTAATCCATCTAATTCAAAGGAAATTTCAAGAAGGCGAAAAAATACAGCATAGAAGAAAATAGGCGTGTTAGAGAAAATAGTAGATACGAGGTGAAAAAGTGCAGAAGAATGTGAAACAAAAAAATGGTTATAAAAAAAGAAGGCTTAACACTTACCACAACATGATTTACCGAAATCCAATCGAACTAATTGCACCATGTATGGTTCCAATAGATTAACGTACCACCATGGAACGCGTTCGGGCTTGGTTAGCGAACACGTTTCGGCTGTGTAAAATGCCGATGTTGAACCATCAATGGCCTTTTGTGGGATTCCAGCGCCTTCAGTTGAAATTTGCATAGGTGCTTTGCCGGCTGCCACATTCAAAACTGCAAAAAAATAAATGGAATGTATTTTCATGAAAAAAATAAATATGATTTTTATTAGTCAATTTGCGCGAGCACTGTAAAAGAAGAACCTCCAAAATTCATTAAAATTATTGGGCGTTTGACACAAAAACTTCGAACCGCGTGGATTGATTTTGTCGATGTTGAAGGTCGTCGTTTGTCTTTCTATTTTCATAACTGCATTCTAAGTCATTAAAGGCATGTTCTTCACGCGGTGGTATCGTGGCAAATTGAGTTTGGCATGCAATAAAAATTCTCATGTAGAGATTTAATGCGCGCATTCTTATCTAAACGATTCTATTAAAATCTATGGCAATGTTGGCGGTTCCTTTTTTTGCGTTGTGCCTCTCAGCCACTAACCTACGGCAAGCGAAAGATTCGTTTCTAAACCATCATGTAATGTGTATATTGGAAACAGCCATGAACATAATATCGTGACAGTTTTACGCCAATATAATTTACGATAAATATTATGGTATGGTTTTACGCCCAATTTTTTTTTTATTGTTCCATGCATTCATTAATCTATTGTTTTAATGATAGGTTTTTCGGAATGATAAATAGAGTGAATTTTTTAACGAATAGTTTTCTTGTCGATGGAATCTCTTGTACAACATAACGAATTTATCAGGGAGCGTGATAGAAGTAATGCTTGAAATAGAAGGAAAAATATTAATCATCGTGTTTTCCACAGTCAATGGAGTCAATCGACAACATATTTTGTATGCAGTGTTTGAAGTGCATGCATGTTCAACGGGTGTGTGTGTCACATATTCAGTAAAAGTTGAATGCAACAAATGAAAAGGTAAGAAAAGACAAACAAGACAAAAAGAACAAAATGATGGCGGAAATAAATGTACGTGTTCCGTTCATAATTACGGTGTTAATTTTTTCTTTTCGCTTGTGTGATGTACTATTTTAGATGTATGACGACCACCATGATAATTATGAACGGTAGAATGCACTGCCAGAACAATATGAATGTGGTGAGCAGAATGCACCGCTCTCGTTACCGCTATCCTTGTCGCTGATGACGAAACACACACTCTTGAAAAACATTCCTCGTGGTAACATTAATTTGAAGGTGCAACATTTGCATAATTATTGCGGTGAAATCATTAGTTTTTTTTTTCTTTCGTCATTAGGAAAATGGATAAATTGTGCATTGGAATCGTAGACACCTTATTAAGTGGCATAAATTGAATTAAGCGAACAAGATAATTATGATGAATAGAATGTTGGAATATTTAAATTGCGATGGATTTATGCATGGCGCTAAACTTCTTTTTTTGAACCGCATTTGATAATTTGTTCCGCTCAAAATCGACATTCGTTAAAAACGCATTAATTAAAAATGTTATTTTCAAAGAAAAAACATAGACAAATTTATGCCCAATGATTCCTGCATGCCACATCAACAATACCATTACTTTTTGGTACGATTGTGGTTCGGTGAAATGTGTTGAATATATATTTCTAATTTAATTAGACATAATGACTTGATTCATATATGGAATAAATGGTTTTATCGTCATCATTTTAATATTGACTTTTTGGTTTTATAGTTCGACGAATGGATGATTAAGCAAATTATGCAGACAATGAAATCGATTAGTTTGTAAAAATGGTTTTTGGCTAATTCGATTTCGATGCTGAATGAAAGAGAAGAGATTCGATTATGATTGACAACAATGGTCACTTTCTTGTGGCTGATTCGGTTGGTTTTGTCAATCATTCAATGAGGGAAATCAATCATTCTTCGTGTATGACTGGAATTTCCAGGCCAAAAGTCATTTAAACAATTAATTCATTCTATGCGAACGTATAACGTTGAAACCTGTACCGTTTTCAGAAATCGACAAGAGAAATTTCATTTTGCACGTCACACTCAAGGAAAAATACCAATTAATATTTTCGAGATGATTGAAAAGTTTTTTTTTTTTTGTTGTTTGAAATAATCTCTCTCGTTGTTTTTTTTTTGGGTCTATGAGTTTTTCTGTCTAATATGATGCCTTCATTCGAAATAAGGTACGGTTTATTGCCAAAGCAGATGGCAAGTAGATACATTTGTAAAACCGAATGTAATTATTGATGTTTGAGACTTCGACATCAAATTTCACTTTATTTCGATTTACCATTTAACTTTAATTACTTTCTATTTCAATCATTCATTCATTAAACACCGAAGAGAGAACATTTGCGTATCGAAGTGCAAAAAATTACGTGACTCAAGCAAATGGAACCGATCTGTTTATTGTTTTTTTACTATTGTCGATCGCATCCGACGAGTATACTTTCAATCTTTGCCCGCGAGAAATGATTTGGTTTTTTCTCTCTCTCTCGTTATTATCGGTGTGCGTCATGTAACATGACAACCAAATTAAATTATGAATCATCTTACACAAAATAAAGTCATTCGACAAAATGGCAAAATGAGTTGATGTTGTCGTCTCATTACATTCCATTTCTCCAATTTGTTTGCAGCCTGAGATGAATGAAGATGAATGGAGAAGAAAAAAGAATTTCGTGTATTCCATTCAAAATCACATCCGAATGATTTACGCTTCAATCGATTGACCCAGTCTTCAAAACTCATTGAGACTAAAAGAAGATTGTGCGTGTGTGCACAAAACTAATGAAAACACGTACAAATTGCGCTCCGCCGCCGACAAACGGAAAACAAACGCAACAGAAAAAAAAACCCGCACAATCGTTGAAGCAGATGTCATAGATCGCGCGTATAAATAACATTTATTAAAGTGAAAAGAAAACGCAAGCATTGCAATGACACTTAATGTGTGGAACGCTAATTAGAAATCCAATTGGAGAAGCAAACACAAAAAAAATGTTGCGTTAGCTTGAGTGTTATCTTGTGATTCAAATCTTTATCGTTTCGCCATCCGATTTTTCTACTACGCCTATCCATAAAAAATCATTGGTTTTTTCTCTCTCTCTCATCTGTGTTACGATCGAGTTTTGTTATAGGCACAGTCGAAACTCGATCCGGTCGCTCACACACAATTATGATATATCTATAGTAGCTGCGCTTTACTTCTTCATCTTTTGCAATGATGACGATGATGTTGGAATTATATGGTGTGGTTTTTTTTTTGCTTCTTTTAAACACAGTCTCCATTACAAATCCAAAGCGGCTGAACCGCTGAACGGCCGCGCAGAAATTATGTAGACCATGAATTGTGTACAGTTATAAAGTTATAATGATCTTGATCATAGTGCTAGTCATCGCGCCGCAATTTGTGTATTAGTATTTATTTGTTTAGACAATATTGCCGTTGCTGTGCACCACAATACAAACACAAACCGAACCAACCAAATCATTTTTTTTTTGTCTTTCTCTTCACTTTTCAGAAAGAGGAACCGACTTTTGTGCGTGTTTTTAATTTTGCATTCATTAATTCTGTCATTGCTTTTCATTCGATTTATATTCTTTCAGTGACATCGATTCCATTTATACCTTCTTCGCCCATTCATTCGACTTAAAAAGCAATGAATATACATTCATTTCAATCGAATGTGAATTAAAAGATTTTGAGGCTTTGATCGTAATTGATCGCTCTCTTTGAATGGAACGGAAAAAGAAGCACAAAGAAAGGTGGAAGTTGGAAGTTTCAACATTAGAGATATTCGATCTGAATGTTGATTCTTGTCACAATCGTGATCAATTTGGATTGTCAGAAATTTATGCATTTTTTTCACATTTCTCTTTTTTACTTTTGCTTTTTGGTTCGCAAAATATGAATCGGTTTTTTTTTATTTAAGCTTCATTATTTTTTATTGGAAACATTTCTGTGTCATATTTTCATTTTTTTTGTTCTTCTTCCATTTCGAATGTCGATTTTTGAAGATGTCTTCGTTTTGAATCTTTTTCGATTTCTCCAATTTGTGATGTGCTTAACCACCCATATTTTTGTGTCACACATATCAGGTTTAAGCCGAAATGCTAAATGGATGAACTAAAAAAATCGAATGATTTTTTTTACCTTCAAAGATGAACTCATCTTTCTCGATCGAGGCTCTTGCTTTGAGAGAAAGAGAGCGAGAGAAAGAGAGATAAAAAAATAAATAACCTTATTCTTTCTCTTATCTAATGAGCACTTGTGCTCATTTCCATCTTGCATATAAGCCAATGAGCGACCGAATCCATAGAACAGCTATAATTGTCACACATAATGTTTACAAAACGAATCGATTACATCTTTCTCTCTAGCTTTTCACTTCATATGGTTCGAATGACGGTTTTTTTTCCTCTTAAATACAGGTTTCGTTTACAATTTGCTTTGTGATGCGCTGTGCTCTAATTTGCTTTCGACACACGGACTGACACAAGATGAAGCAAAAAAAAAAAACACAAAAATAAATCCATACAAAATAGATAATTGCGTCTTGTTTGCACTGATTATTTTTGCGTTGAATACGTGCTTTTATCTTTTCTAAAGATTTCTTTTCTCGAATGTACACATATGGTTGACTGTTCCGAATTTTGGACCGGTGTTCTGGTTTCCATCTTCTTTTTTTACCATTTTTTTCCAAACTACTGTTTCATAATAATTGATGATCTTTTAATACATTTCGAACTGAAATGACTAATGTTTATTCCCGGCAAAGTAAAATACCGTGAACAATATGGAAACTCTGCAAAGCGAAAGTAACAATTATTTTTTCGTATCACAGTTAAATACATTACCACAATAATTTCAGTGAAACTTTGCTCATTTCTTTTTTTTTACATTTTTTTCATAAATTTATTATTTCATTGATTCTCCGCGCACGCGCAAGTTCTTGCCTTTCGCACAGCCACACTCACACAATCACACGGAGCCCCATCGATCATGAGAACATGAATTAAGCGCACATGCAATGAAAAAAACACACTGTTTTCATGTATGAATGCGTTTCTCTTTCTGTAAATATTCGAATTTCATCGTGTTGTACGATGACGAGATGCTTTTGCTTTCTTCTTT